CCAAATAGAGCAGTGCTCCTATTCCAGCAAGTTTGCCCATAGCCTCAGCCATCCTTTCAGTCTCTTGAAGCCTTTATGCTTCAGAAAAAAAGGAATAGAATAGGAAATGATGCTTAGCCTGGAAATGGATCATAGAGGACAAAACAAGTCTCACTCAGTTTATGTGGGTTTTAAGAGGACAAATAAGTAAATGTGAGCAAAATACACAAACATAAGCAAGATAGGAAAAAAAAAATGCCAAGAAACCACATCAATGTGGTGGTACAGGAGAGAGAGAAGAAATGAGTAAAAGAAGAGATGGAATTTACACCAGAAGGAAACGTATGGAGGAAAAAGAATTTTGTATAATGTTTTGAGATATAGAATAATTAACAAGAACATAAATTCAATAAGTTCTCAAAGACAACATAAAGAACACAGAGATGAAAAAGGAACTTAAAAGACTAAGGATATGATGATCCTAATTATATAATCATTTTAGAAAATGTAATAAATACTAAATGCAATATAGAGACAAAGTAAGTTGAAGGTAGATGGCGTGTCTAGATGAGAGAATCAAATGAAATAGAAAGCAGTTTCACAAAATAAAGAATTAATATTTATGTAGAAAAAGTATACTGTATTTTAGAAAAATTTTGATACAAAAGACGAACACTAAGATATATATTAAATCAATTTGTAGTGATAAAGAAGAATATCTAAAAAGCCAATCTAGGCAAAAAAAWAGGAAATCACATTCAAATGGTTAAACATTTAGCTGTCCTCAGATTTGTGCCAGTTGAATTCAGTGCCAAAAGAAATAAAGCAGTATCCTCAAGTTCTGATGTAGGAGTAACAAAGTATTATTCTCTGCCAAGTACAAACATGAGGGCAAATATTCAGAGGACGGGTGTCTTAATCTTCTCTTAAATGACATGTAGCCAACTGAGAAAAAAGTCAATAGAAAGAAACCAGAAATGGTGAAGAGGTCAAGGAATTGAGTTCATTGAAAATATAAATATAAAATATAAATACCTAACAATTCATACATCACAACAGTGCTAAGATCAGCATATGTGCTTCAAACTTTGGTTATAGTCAGATCGAAATATAGGTCAGAAAAAGGTAGTGCCAAGTGTGAGGATGCTAATTGTCCATCTTTAATGTAAAGGGGTTGATATGATCTAAAACTGAAATGTTAATTCTGGGAATCACTATTGTTTTATTTATAATTGATTTTTAAACCTCATAGAGATTAAAAAATATATCTCCTGTGCTAAAGAAAATCACCTGGATTTTTTTTTAAGTTCCATTTCCATTTATTTCTATTAAATATGAGTGAAATTATATTTGATCCTTTTTTTGTTAAAATAAAATTTAGGGGGCTGAGTTTAGTATATCTTGTATGTGTGAGGCCCTGAGTTTCATCCCCAGCACCCCCGCAAAATAAGAATAAAGTAAAATTTAGTATGAGTTTTTTCTATCCTTAGTCATTCTCTCTCCCATCCCCTTTTCTTTCTCTTATTCTCTTCTCCATGAAGAGATTTCTAGAATTTTATTATTTATTATGTTACTTTTGGGTAGCAAAATTATAAAATTTCGACATTTTATTTCTCTGCACAGCTTGTTTAGCACTTAAACAATTAAAAATTATTGGGTTCAATGAGTTAAAATAAAACCCATTTAAAATGCTACAGGAGAAAGAATAAGGAATATTAATTGTTCACTAGGTGAACATGGTCTTTCCAACATTGACTCGAAATGAAAAAAGAAATGATGAAACTTGATAGATTTTATTGAAGAAAATTAAAGCCATCTCTATGCCACTTTTGAATTCAAAACTGGAAAATATTTATTATTTATTTAATGAAGGGATGATTTTCTTAATGTTATTAGAGTTCTTATAATCAACTGGAAATAGATGACTACATAGAAGAAAAAATGGCCATAGGACAATATCAGGCAGTTCTTAGAAGTGGTATATATGTTTTTAAAAATTATGAAAAGTTTTTAGTGTTTCTTATACTGAAAATAATGTCGACTTTTTACATATCTAACTGACCATTTTATGATTATAATATGTGGTATTTTGAAGCTACTTGTAAAATACATTTATACCTTAATTGTAGAAGTGTGAATGCATGTTTTTGGAGCTGAGTTTAGCCAAGTCTCATTAAAAAATTAAAATATGAAAGCTTTTAAATCAATCATTTAAGTTATAAGAACTTATTCTGAGGAAAAAACCATGGGTATGCCCAAAGATTATCTAAAGGAAAAGTTAGTTTATGGTAGGAAAAAAAGGTCAGAACTGACAAATGTCCGAAGTAGTAAATGGAATAAATTAATCATGCTACATTTTTATTATTCATTTTAATATTGAATGACACGGAATACATAGTGTGTGTTGATTTAAAGGAAAGTCTACAAATTACCTTATATAAAATCATTTCCTTCAGAGTAACATTTTTATTTATGTTTTTCATAATTTATATTCTTAGTAATTAATTCCAAAGAAATAACAAATATTTATAATGACTTTTTCTGGGTTTTAAAATTCAGAGTTTCCTTTGTTTTTTTCCTATTTCTATATTATCTTTCACTTTATTATAAGAAGTATTTCTTGACCATTCAAAAAAGAAAGATACAGGAATAGGTTTTAGCAAAATGTTTAGTATGCTAGTAGTTTGTAATTTACATGAGTAAAATGTTATTTCTTTTTAATAAATATATTATATTCTGATATATGTGGTTAGAAATCTTGCAAAATTCAAAAGCTAAAACAAATACACATTGAAGTCTGTTTAGGTCTTAGAGATAAACAGATTAATGATATTAGTTTCTCCAGTAGATTCCAACTGAAGTCTTTCCCAAACTGAATCAATAAATCTGGGTCTTTCATTAGGGGCCCTGTGGGAAACAAAATCATGTCATGTGTAGGGTCAGCACAGACATTTCCTCCCTGAGATGGTGGATGGCATTTTTTGGCTCTCTTGACTGCTATGCAGCAAAATTTATTTGTAAGTTGTTGTTGTTGTTTTGTTTTGCTTTGCTTTTTAAAACAAATTACAAGAAGAAGCTGGCCCATTTGTTCCCTGGTATTTGCACAGCATTCTTTAAAGTTTTACCCAGATCTAGAATTAAGCATTTACATTGGAGGGGATAGTCAAGAGGGCATAAATTTCTTTTGATAGCTGAAATTGTATTGGCACAATAAAGAGATTACTCTAAATTTCAGATAACCTAATTAGACATAGCTTTTACCAGCTCTGAAGCAGAGAGACATATCAAGGGCAATGCTTAGGCATTTGTTCTTTACTGGTTGGAAGCAGATGAAAGCTTCAGTGTTTCTTTTCTTGGATATGGCTTAAATTGGAAAACTTAAGCTTTCCCCACTATACTCACATAATATCCATAAGTCCTGTTTGTTTAATATTCATTTGACCTTTTCCAATCATATTTTGTGAACACAGCAACATGAGACAAATGTCCTAGCTTCCTCTTGGGTTCTGGTAACTTTGCTGTTTCCCTGGACTAAGGAAGACTGGATGAGGGGACCAGCTCTCCTATGTCTTTGTTGTGGAGGGTRGATCTTGGAGACTGGTGTTAGAGGAGAGGATTTCCAAGTGAATGGTACCCAGATAGATGGTTCATCATTTAATTTCTATATTGATTAAAGTAACAATAGTTGCTGTTACAGACAGTGAAGTTTTATTCTCTTATCAAACTAGTAGTTTTCTTTTCTGTTTGCTTAATATCCAAAGGGATTTCCCCCAAATATGATTATTTTATAAGCAAATTCTTCCATTTGGTGGTGCACTTATCTTCATCATATGGGTCCTGTGTTGCTGGCCTGTGGAAAGAGCATAGAATATGTATATTAGTGTGTTCTGCAGACCATTCTTGAAATGCTCTACGACTTCTGACATTGGCTACAACTTAGTTAAATAATCACATCCACCTGTAAGAGAGACTGAAATTATAGTATAGCTGTTGACTCAGGAAGAAAGGAAAAAGAATTTGATAGTTACATAGTCTGTGTGTGTCATAGTTGTAAATCCAGCAATAGAAAATCAAAGACAGACTGTAAAATACTGAGGTTTGGAAGCCAAGAAGACTCAGATCTTGAATTCTAAGAAAATGAAATGAATAAATATGTAGTAATTCCCTGCGCTGGAGCTGAGTGTTCCAGGAAGCCTTTACTGGATAGATCCTTCTACTGTACTTTTGGGTGAAGAAAGGGAACAGTTAAATCAGCCAATGGAAAATACGAAGGAATTTTTTGGTTTGTTTTTTTGTGGTGCTGGAGATTGAACCCAGGGGCACTCTAGTACTGAGTTACATCCCCAGCCTTTTTATTTTATTATTATTTTGAGACAGGGTCTTGCTAAGTTGTCCAGGCTGGCCTTGAACTTGCAATCCTCCTGCCTCAGCCTCCTGAGTTTCTGTTATTACAGGCATATATTACCATACCAGGCTAGAAAGTTTTTTTTTTTAATCTATTGGCAGAGAACAAATATAAGCAATGATGAAATATAGAATTATTTGGCTTTATGACTCCACCATCAAGATAGAGTACTCACTTTTAACCATAATTTTGGATTATTTGATATTAAAGTTTGTTATAGACTGTTTTATTGAATTTGGATTATGTGCCCTGTGTTAGGATTAATAATTTTAAACTAATAGAAATATACTATACTAAAAAAATACTAAAAATACAATACTAAAAAATTATTAGAGGTTTGAATAGAATTACTGTCAACATTTATATAATGTTAAGTAGCTTATACATTTTACATATTTGTGTAATTGAATATTTAATTTTATGCATTTATATAGTAGTCTTGGGACCTTAGAATATTGCTATGTTATAAACTGTTGTTTGTTTTGTAGATGGAAATTCATAAGAATAATTACTTGTATGATTCCGTATTTGCTTATAAATTGTGCTTCTGATCCAAAAGTCATGTGATCAGAGAATCAAATGTGATTCATGGTACTTTTTCCTTCCTTCTTTCCAGGAGAAAAGTTGAAATTATGCACACCCATAGTCTTTTCACTCTTCTTGGAGAAAGACTGATGCTGCATACAAACACTGTGACTGTCACCACATACAACACACTTTATGAGGTAAAATTAAAAAAAAATATGATGAAAAGTGTATACATTGGAAACTTCCTAAACCTATGTGTTTGAGATAAGTACTTGTCAGCTTGTCAAAAAAGACAGACAAAGCACTAATCATTACAAATGAAAATGAACACATACCTTATTTTTTATTGTATTTTAAAAACTAAATATGTGCAGTTACTTGCCAGTGTTCTTGGGTTGGTTAAGGGTGTTTCTATGAATATGGGTTGTCTGACTGCCTTTACAGAGTCTTTCTCACGTAAATTACACTCCTTTTTATTAAATATATTAGAACTACTTTCACATTCTTTCCTTTCTCTACTCCATTTGTCCTTTCTAATATATAGCAATCACCTACTTATGATAGAGGTGATATGAGGTAAAATGAAAGTAAGAACTATTTATAAAAATGATGTACAGATGCATCTTTAGATCTCATCATTTCAGTTTAGAAATTCTTTTCTCATAACTTCTAACAGGTACATATTTGGGTTTGATACTTTCTATGAAATGTGTATATTGCCTCAAAGTAGCTATTTTAATTTTAAATGCCAATAAAGTATTAGAACTCCTCCCTTATGTTAACCTTACTGCTTTCCTGTAGCCATCTTTAGCCATGCCAGTACTCTAAGTATAAGAATTGGCAAACTATCAACACCTGTTTTTGTGTGGCTATGAGATGATGATGGTTTTTAGATTTTTAAGTGGTTGAAAGTAATCAAAAGAAAAAGAATGTGTGGCATGTAAAATTTATGCAAATAAAAATTTCAGTGTTTATAAATAGTTTTATTGGAACACAGCCACAATTATTTGTTCAGGTATAGCCTACAGCTGCTTTTACACTACAACCACAGAGTAGTACTTGGAACAAAGAATGTCACACTGTCATCGCTTTGCATTGCAGCTTGGCATACTGGGAATCAGAGCTGTACAATAACTTAATATTGTTTCATGTACCACATGTATTGCCAAACCTGCCTTCTTTTAAAATATCAGTACATAACTATAAGGTCAAAACAGAAACAGTTGGTTTTGAATCTCACACTTTTAAAATATAGTGGACTGTAGATTATTTTGTGACAGATTTAGAAGGCAAGGCATTGTGTCTGTTATACAAAGGCATTATATCATCCTAAGAAAATACCTTCATTGACATTTCTAGACTAGGTGTGCATAATAATATTCCTAACCTAGAAAAACATCATTTAGAAAATATAAAACTGAATATTTCATTATTGAAGATTTACTAAAAAAATAATATTCACCATACAGGAAGGCAAATGCTAAATGAAATCTCTTTAATTCAGTAGTTCTGAATGGTATTGTCATAAATTTTTAAATTAATAYTGGAAAAATTGGGGGCTTGGGCTGGTGCTGTAGCTCAGTGGTAGAGCGCTTGCCTGACACGTATAAGGCCCTGGGTTCAATCCTCAGAACCACATAAAAATAAATAAATAAAACAAAGGTATTGTGTCTATCTACAATTAAAAAATATGGAACAAATTTAAACTTTTCTAGTGCTACATTATTTCATCTAAGCCATGGGCTAGTCCAGCTCAATTCCAGTTTTTTTCACAGCCCTGAAACAGTGTAATTTTCAAATTACACTGTCCATAAATAACTTCGGATTGGGACCTAGCTAGTTCATTTTATATGGTCTGTGGATGACTTTATGTGGATGACTTTATACAGAGGTGAATAGTTGTAACAGAAACCACATTGTTCACACATCATTGAATACTTATTTGACCTTATCTATAAAAATTTTGCTGATTCTTGCAGTACTCCAACCCAGAAAAGTGTAACTCCCCCTGTTGTTTTTATTAAATACTATTTTAATCTGATATGGGAATCGATATGCATTCACTTCTAAAATTTGGGAAGGATAGAAAAGTGTCATGAAAAAATTGACCCATAGTAGCTCCGTTAATACTTAAAAGTATAAAAATTTTTTCTTAACTCTTTCTCCTACACACACACACACACACACACACACACACGGAAACTACTCTTAACAAGGTATCATCTTATACATAGCTTTGTACCCTTTTCTTCTTTAACAATATATTGAAAATCTTTTTGTTACAAAATTTTCATCTATCGTGTGGTAGGGCAAAGTTTCTCCCTTAAAAAAATAATTAAAACATTTAGATTTTGTGGGCTATATGATCTTGGTTTAAGTACTCAGGTCTTCATTTGTAGCTTAGAAGCAATTATAGACAATATGAACCACATGGGCTGTGTTCCAATCAAACTATTATAAAAACAGGAAGTAGATTGACCCAGAGGCATTGGTTTTTTGACCCCATCTGTAGCATTAATTTTCACTATTTCATCTTTTGTCCCTTTTATTCTCTAATCAGTAAGAGTAGAAACAGCCCATTAGATTAAATAGAAACCTTTTAGCTCTTGACTTTTTGTTTCTAAGCTTAATGTGCCTACTTTGGATCAGTCATTCCTTAAATCACATGAGTTTTAGGTTTTACCTTCTAGAGTAATTCCTTTTTTAATTAAATACAGAACCGAGTATGCACTAATAGAATGGCCTATACTTGTAGAGTATGGTGACGTGATCTTCTTTCTTGGCTTTGATATTGTATTTTCCTTATTATAGTAACTATCTTTTTTTTGGCACTTCTTAGGATAGTTATCTTAGTGAGTGCCCTATATTCATTATCTCAGATCTTCTTAACAGTCCTTTTGTACTGGTATTTTTATTGTCTCTTAAAACAGATAAACAGAGTTACAGGTTCAAGAGTTTGCTTTATCGTATTACTAATAAATGTTTTAAATTAGGTAGGTTGTGAAATATATGTGTATAAGGGGGAAATGTCAAAATACCTTCAACTGACAAACCTTGTTATAATAATCAGGGTGGTTTTTTAAAAATAAACATTAAAAAAGGCCTGGGGATGTAGCTCAGTGGCAAAGTACCCTCTGATTCAATCCCCAGTACACACACACAAGCTTAGGTCTTCATGATAATATTCTCAAGGAGAATATTAGCATAGGTGAGGGTAACGGGCCATGCATTTGAATGTGGTGTATATCCCCAACACAACCCTGCAAGAGATAGAGGACACATGTTTAACTTTTTAATCATTGTTTAACTTGTGGGAATTTCTTACCATCTACTTGTTTGAGTTATCATCAATATAGATAGAAAATCAGTCAATGAATCCTTACATTAAAATAAAAGTAATGCATAACATGTCACATGTATGTATATCTATTAGTCTTCCTGAACAGTGTTTCAATAAGCACAGTGGCACTTTACCCACCACTTATACAAATAATTGCTCTTGGTATCCAGATTTTGGTCTTTAATGATAGTCTATGCTAAACAAAGGCAAGTTGTTGCTGATTCTGTGCCTTAGGGTGAGGAGAAGTTAGGATCAGTGTGAATGCTTTAATGTTGGGCATTGAATGTTGGAAGTTTCAGGGATGCTAAAATGATGAGAAATGTACTCATAAGGCTTTTGACCAATTTAATAGTTATATATGTTATTACCAGTTTGGCAATAATATTTAACATTTATTAATAATAATAACAATATAATTTTTGGAAGACTCAGTTCATAATGAACTATTTTTTTAAAAAAAAGTTACTAAGGTGTACAAAAAAATCAAAGAAGAGATAAATGAACTTGGCGTCATATTGCATGTTTGTATTTCCAGTGACTCAGGAGGCTAAGGTAGCAGAATCATGAGTTCAAAGCCAGCCTCAATAATTTAGCCAGGCTGCAAGTAACTTAGTAAGTCCTTGTCTCAAATAAAATATGAAAAGTGCTGGGGATATGACTCAGTGGTTAAGCAACCCTAGGATTGCCCTGGTATAAAAAAAAAAAAAAAGATGATAAATGATTGGTTAGCACTGATCTCATGCGGTAGTAAAAAAGAGTCTTCAACTTAAGCTTCAATGCTCTTAACAAACCAAATTGTATTATGAAAATGATAGGAAAATGGATTACTATTTCTGGATCCAAAAGATTGTATTATTTTTACTAATGGCACTTGTTTACAACAAATTATATTTTTTATAATTATCAAATTTTTCGATTAACATAGCAAGTGTAATTTAACTTCACAAACAGAACAGCCTAGACTTGGAGCTTGAATTTAACTCATCAATCTGTTCTTGCATTCTCAGCAAGAATCAGTTGCTCAATAATTTGGTGGCTAAAATATTTTTTTCCCCTCTTCATTGTCCCCCACTTTTTTTGGTTTGGTTTTGGGAAATTACCTGAACTCCAGCGATGTTTTAAATTAAATAGCACTACACCTTTATAAAGGTATAAATTTTTGTATAGAAATAATAAAGTACTGTGTCATACCTATACTACTGCTAATGAATAGTAGAAAATATCAGTTATATGTTTAGCAAAATCTTTTGAAGTCCTGTTTCTATGTCTTGGTGATCTTTAAAACTTTTAAGATTGATAAGATGCATAAAATAAATAATAAATATTAAAGCAACAAGCCAGACTTTTTAGCAGAATATGTCAGACAACATTATATCAATTATGAACATGTAAAAATACATCTTAATGATCCTGAAAGCCAGATGTTTCTAAGAAGACACTCTGTTTCCTAGTTTTCTAAGATGTATTATGTCTGATGAGGACTGGAAGTACGGATAGGTCAGAAAGGAAACAGTCCTAACTGCTGCTTAAGCCACAGTCTGTCTGTAACATGTGAATTACAAAGTAATTTCATTTATAAAATAATATTTAAATATGTAATGCTGGGGTCAAGTCTTTGTCTATAAATACCATAATTGGAAATTTACCATGCTTAAATTTCACTTTTGATTTCCCTGTTTTATATGATTGCACTAGTCTAAATGTTCTAAATGCTCAGAATGTGGCTACTGTGAATTAAGAAATGCTGTAAATGTTAAATGCAAATTGGATTTCATGTCCATATCTGGTTCTGAACCCTCCATATCATCTTGTTTTAATTAGGTGCAGAGGTTACTTCCTGTGTATGTATCTCTTAACCTAATCCAGACAAACGTCTTTTGCTTCCATTAAAATGCTTATATCTACATTCATTTTTATTTATTTAATTGTTATTACCCCTCCTCTTTTTAAACTCATATAGGTTCTTACTGATAAGTTTACCATGTCTTATTGTTTAAAAGGGGGCATGTATTTATGCCTGTCTCTAGACCATTAATTAAATAAATTGGTGCTAGAAATATAATTCCACTTAGCATCTATATTTTTCATCTCAAAACATTTAACAGAGTGTGGACATGTACCTGGCTCTAAATAATACATGCTGAATCGAGTTTCTAAATATATTTTTATAATTAAAAAATCATTTTAGATTTGAATATGTTGTAGTTTTCAAAGCATTTTCAAATGKAGAGCCTTATTTAATCTTTGTAGCAGGTTTATTAGATGGACAAAGCAATTATTACCCTCATTGTTAGATGATAAAATAGTGACTTCAAAAGTACAACAGCATAAAAACTGTTGATGGCTTTTAGGTAAATTTTATTTCTTGTTCAATATGATTTAATTGCTTTTGGTGGAGAAAGTTTTGACTATTCTCTTCCATTTAGGAGTCTGACCTGCTTTTCTTCCCTCATGTCTGGAGTTATTGTGAATCTTTAATTTATAAACAGAATTTTCTGGGATATTTTCCATCGGGCTATAGGGTCACACCAGGGCCTTTTGGGAAAATTGATGTGAAAACTCCTTCTAGGTATATACCAACTATTAATTTATTGTTATTTGGCATATGGTTTTTAATGAAATTTTATCCCACACGTAAGCTCCATTTTATTAGTAGTGCATGTTTGGAGTGCTCCAATTAAGAAAAATTGTGACACAATTTAGTTTTAACAATGAAGTGTTTAGTTTTCCACAAAAGTATGGAAGTGAGGGGAATAGAGTTAATTATAAATATTATAATACTATAATAATACTATAATATTATAGTAATATAATAATATTACTATACTATTAAAGTAATAGTAGGCCAGTTTTGTTTTCAAGTCAGTGACTTTTTGGTGTACATTTCTAAAATATATCTATTAAATTTTCTGTTTTAGTCTGAGCAGAAAGACAAGAAAAGTGCCACTTCTGGATGTCRTGGTTCTTTTCTAATCAGAATGATCAAGGGTTCATCCCTGTGTCTTAATTTACTTTTTCTGTTCCCAACTTTTAGAGTACAGCCATATACATTTGTTCTTTAAACTAACATGTATAGTATTTCACCAAGTTTTATTTGTCCTTTGTTGAACTGTTTTAAAAGCATTATTTAGAACTTGTCATGCTAGAACTAAATAGGAAATCAAATCACTGCTGTAAGTTGGTGTCTTCATTAAATACAGTCTCATTGGGCTTATTTATATTTAAGAGTAGAGATAAACATGGGTTAATGCCTATACTTTTATATATTATATATTTATATAACAGATATTTATATGTTATTTCCATATAATAATTATATGTATATTTAATTATTTATATACATATTCATGAAATTCAGTTATCCATTCTTTCATTTAACAAATATATATTGAGTACTGGTATGTGTAAGGCACTGGTGCTAATTCCTGGAATTTAGCAGAGAAGATGTATAAATCCTGCACTTTTTGAGTCTGTGTTTTAGTGAAAAGTTAGTGAATGTTTTAGAATATCTTGTCTTTACTTGGTCATCTCATGCCATTTTTTATTATTTGAAAGATTTTTTTTAATTGCACTAAATGACAATGAGCCACATTTAAAGGAAGAAATTTTCTTTCTCAAATTTCATTTTTAAGTATGGACCCTGCTCAGACATTATTTTCTTTCATATTTTTTAATTTTTAAAATTAATGATGACAAAAGAATCAAATATATACAATTTACAACAGAAGTATATTAAAGATGTATACTGAGAAAGTATTTCAAACAATAATTTGTGGATTTTCTGATTTTTCCTTCTATGTATTTCCTTCTATATATTTTGTCCTCATCTAAAACAAAGTTTGAGAAAAATAGACTTAAAGGATTTAAAAGAATATGGAATTCTTTATAAAGGCAATTAGGAGAGATGTTTCTTCCCATTTGAACCAAAGTGACATTTTTGCACATTCTTTGTATATTTTGTACTTATGATTTCAGTTGTTCTCTCTATGAAGTTTACATTTTTTTAATCTTTCAGATCTTGACAGAGCAAGTGTGTACTCAAGTTGTACACAAACCACATCCAGAACCAGACTCTACAGTGAAAATTCAAAATCCAAGTGAGCAAATGGCAGTTCTTTATTGTGTGGTAATTATATGGCAACACATGAGACTAAATCAGACTTTTCTTTTTTAAATCTGTATGGAGTTTACTTAGTTTATAACATTTACAACTCACCTATCATAATGCTCAGTATTTATTTTGAAATTARTAAATATAATATGTGTCTTGGTTGAAGATAAGATGTGGTTATAAATCACGAGTTCAAGTTTTTTTGTTTACAGTGATTCTTAAGGTGGTGGCAACTTTATTAAAAAACTCTACACCAAGTGCAGAATTGATGGAAGTTCGCCGTTTATTTTTATCTGATATGATAAAACTTTTCAGTAACAGCCGTGAAAATAGAAGGTAAACAATTTGAATGTTACAAAAGAACTTTTATCCTACAGTTAATGTTCTTCTCCTTAATTTTCAATCTCTTTCAAATAAAAAAGTGTAAATCTTTCTTATATTGCTAAATATGCTTAATTATTAGAAAAGGCAGTATATTTGATACAATTTGTATTCAGTATACTTTTAAAAATTTTTATATATTATTTAATCATCCATGTGTATTTTAATTATATTGTGTGTATGTCTGCGTATCTGTCCTTAAAATAAACTATTTCTGGTACCTGCCTATCACCAATAGTACTTTGATTATAAGTATGTAGGATTTGCCCATACATATATATATATATTTTTCTTGTTTGTCTTATGACTGATTGCTGTCATGCATTTTAAAGATGGTTTGAAAAGACATGAGGTATGGATTGAGGCCATGAACTCTTTTGTCTATGGTTGTTTCCTGAGCCTTTAATTTAACAAATATTGATTGTCCATTGTGTGTGGAGTACCATGCTATGCAGGGTAGTTTTATTGCACACTCTTAGGATGATTCAGTGGTTAAGACAAACATAAACCAGTGATTAATTTATGATGGATTAAGTGCATTGTGAGTGCTAAAGGTGATGAGAAACAATTACTAAACTGAACTGGGAGAGCTAAGAAAGTGATTCTGAATGGTAATTAGGATTTTTCTAGTAGAGAAATGGAGAAAATCTGTAGAATACAGAATGTGCAAAATAATTATTTACCTTGCTTTATTTATTTAGATCATATTTTCACTATTTTATCCCAAGTTATGAGATACTACAGTCTTCTTTAATTTTGGTATTTTTTAATGAGACCTTTTATCTTCCCTAGATGCTTATTGCAGTGTTCGGTATGGCAGGATTGGATGTTTTCTCTTGGCTATATTAATCCTAAAAATTCTGAGGAGCAGAAGATTACGGAGATGGTCTACAATATTTTTCGGATTCTTTTGTATCATGCAATAAAATATGAATGGGGAGGCTGGAGAGTCTGGGTGGATACACTTTCAATAGCCCACTCCAAGGTAACCAGAGATTTAGCATTTTACACCATCTAGGTTTTAGCAGTAAATTAATGTCTATAAACCCTCATCTGGTGCCATCTTGTGGACATCTTAGATTATGACTGATTCCTTTATTCTAGTTTTCTCTTTCCTATTTTTTCCATCTGTATTCATAGATTTTAGAGCTTGAAAGTATCTTGTAGATCATTTAATTCAAAATGCAAGTTTATAAATTAGGAATTTTAGGTGCTATAGCTGTTTATATTAGATTTGAAAACTTGAGTCTGAGCCAGTTGCTTTTTTAAGTAAAACATACCTGCACAATTCTTATATTTTATGAAATAGTCTCTGAAATACAATTTTTAAGACATTTTTAAAGAAGTCAGAATTTTTAAATTTCCAAGTGAATCATAAATGCACTTAGTTTTTAAAGATTTTTTAATTGTATTATCTTTTATTTATAATATTAAGAATCTGTGTTTTTTAAATATTATTATTTTTTAGCTCTAGTTAGACACAACACATTTATTCATTTATTTGCCTGTTTATTTATTTATTTGTTTATATGTGGTGCTAAGGATCGAACCCAGTGCCTCACACGTGCTAGGCGAGCCCTCTACTGCTAAGTCACAATCCCAGCCCCAAGAATCTATGTTTTAAATATATTTGATTTTTCATAAACTGAAGTAGTGAATTAAACTATATAAATATATATGCATTAGCTTTTGGAAATTTGTATTTAGGATTTCTCATTACGTATTGTCATAGAAGAAACCTGGGTGCCAGGAGTTTGTTTTTAATCAAGTTATGTTATAATTGAACTTTTTTTCATTTTTAATAAATTCATTTAGTCTTTTTTAGCAACACTTACAAATACACTTTCAGAGGGTACATAAGTAACACTGCCTCTGATGAAATTACACAATTTTCTGTGTGTTTAAAAGCAGCCTCACAGAATATGTAAATGAAAGAGCCTGGTTGTGTTTTATAAAATGTTACTGATAAAAACAGATGACATGCAGGCACAGTAGCACACCTTGTAATTACAGTGACTTGGGAGGCTGAAGCAGGAGGATAGCAAGTTTAAGGCTAGCTGTCTTCATGATTTAGGGAGACCCTGTCTCAAAATTAAAGAAAAAAAATTAAAAGGCTGGCCATGTAGTTCAGTGGAAAGTGCCCTTGAGTTCAGTTCTTAGTACTGGAAAAATCCAAAACAAAACAAAAAAAGTGACAAATAAATTGGCTAAGGTCATAGATTGTGAACTCCCACATTTGGGACTAAAATAAATGAAGGGATTATTATATCATGATAATCTCCAAAGAAAGGTCTATCTAAAATTCTTTTAACCTGTTATTTAAATATAAATTATTATCTGTGTATAAGAGAGGTTTCTGAACTTAAAAACTTTAAGAAGAATTTTTGTTTTAAAATTACATTTTGCAATATATTGGCACCTTATATTTATCATTGTGTTAATAAATTTGAGAATAGCAAAGAAAGTATTTGTACAAAAAATACATCCTAATTATTCCTAAATAATCCCACATGAAAAAACAAATTCAAAGTAGCTTATATAAGGATAAAATTATAACTTAGCAGTTTATAAATGCATATATCTATAGATATATGTGAATTATTTTTTAACTGTTGTTATAATAGGTACATGTAGGAGCAAGAAATGGTGAAAAAGTCTTGTTTTATGGTAATAGTATTTTGGATATTATATATTATTAGCTGCCAGATCCTCATTTAAGCCTAAGTGAATGTGTAGGTGTTAACTGTCAAATTAGGTTGGTTAACAATAAAGTATCTAACCTGAACAAAGAACTTAATTTTGCTAGTTTACCTATGTAACATTGGGCAAGTCACGTAATAAATCTTAAATTGCTATGTTTGATGATTATTTCCACTTAATAAAACTAAGCACTTGTTTTAGGATTAACATTTGATACTTTAAATATTAAACTTCCTGGTACGATTTTTGCTATTATTATCTTAATTTTATTTGCATTATTTATATTTTTCTTCTTGACCTATATAAAATGCCTCAATGTTTTCTCTACTTATTCCCAAGGTCACTTATGAAGCACATAAGGAATACCTTGCCAAAATGTATGAAGAATATCAAAGACAAGAAGAGGAAAACATTAAAAAGGGAAAGAAAGGGAATGTGAGCACCATCTCTGGTCTTTCATCACAGACAACAGGAGCAAAAGGAGGAATGGAAATCCGAGAGATAGAAGATCTCTCTCAAAGCCAGAGCCCAGAAAGTGAGACAGATTATCCTGTCAGCACAGATACTCGAGACTTACTCATGTCAACCAAAGTATCAGATGACATTCTTGGAAATTCAGATAGACCAGGGAGTGGGGTACATGTGGAAGTACATGATCTTCTAGTTGATATAAAAGCAGAAAAAGTAGAAGCAACAGAAGTAAAACTTGATGATATGGATTTATCTCCAGAGACTTTAGTGGGTGGAGAAAATGGTGCCCTTGTGGAGGTTGAATCTTTGTTGGATAATGTATACAGTGCCGCTGTTGAGAAACTCCAGARCAATGTACATGGAAGTGTTGGGATCATTAAAAAAAATGAAGAGAAGGATAATGGTCCATTGATAACATTAGCAGATGAGAAAGAGGAACTTCCCAATAGTAGTGCATCATTTCTTTTTGATAAAATACCCAAACAGGAGGAGAAACTCCTTCCTGAACTTTCTAGCAATCACATCATTCCAAATATTCAGGACACACAGGTACATCTTGGTGTGAGTGATGATCTTGGATTGCTTGCCCACATGACTGGGAGTGTAGACTTAACTTGTACATCAAGTATAATAGAAGAAAAAGAGTTCAAAATCCATACAACATCAGATGGAATGACTAGTATTTCTGAAAGAGACTTATCATCATCAGCCAAGGGATTAGAGTATGCTGAAATGACTGCAACAACTCTGGAAACTGAGTCTTCTGGCACCAAAATTGTACCCAATATTGATGCAGGAAGTATTATTTCAGATACTGAGAGATCTGATGATGGCAAAGAATCAGGAAAGGAAATCCGAAAAATTCAGACCACTGCTACAACACAAGTAAGCTATCTTATATGAGTTCTAGAAATAAAATTAGCAGCAAAACAGAGTCATTTCTTACCAATTTCACCGTGTTTATATGCACATATGGTATGACAGTGTCTTATAGAATTTGGTATATATATATATATATATATATATATATATATATATATGAAATTAAGAGTAATTGAAAGAATCTGATTTATACAATTCTGTTACATTTGTGTGTGTGTGTGTGTGTGTGTGTGTGTGTGTGTGTAGCAGCTTTGCTCAACCACTCTGGGCTTAAGATCCTTATATAGTATGAAACATTGTACTAGATTAACATATGACCTCTAAGGTCTCTACCCTTTCTAAATTTTATGACTCCATGACTATATTTACACATTTTGTACTCACAATCGTCATTCTGAATAATTGATTAATTTTAACCTTTTAAGCTTCAGGCCCAATCCTGTTCTGTGGATTATAGAAAAGAGGACTTGCAGCCCAGATTGAACTGATAAATGAAGGGGAAGGGAAAAGGGAACTGTTATTTATCAAGTGCCTTCTATGTTCCGGGCACTGTGATAGATGTTTTCTGATTTAATCCTCACAACAACTCTGTGAGGTAGGTAATATGGCTGAGAAAATTTGAAATTATTAGTAGTGAGAATTTTCTTTACAACCATGTGGATAAAAATTTGTTATGAAAAAAATTAAAGATTCTTAGGCATAGTAGTTAGGAAATCTTAGTGCCACAATTCTAACTTTACCAGAATAAAGCTAAAAACCACTGATGTTTTCTGATACAGGTTTAATTTTTGAATTTGAGTTGTGACTATTTTCTTATTTTCTGGGCTAAATAATGCTATTGTAGTTAAGACTTTGAGAAATTACAATAATACTTTTACCCTTAAAGAATTGGGTTTTCACGAGACACAGAAATCCCAGTGGTTTGGGAGGCTGAGATAGGAGGATTGAGAATTCAGAGCCAGTCTCAGCAAGGGCTAGGTGCTGAGCAATTCTGTGAGATCTTGTCTCTAAATAAAATAAAATAAATAAAATACAAACTGGGGATATGGCTCAGTGGTCAAGTGTCCTTGAATTAAAACCCTAGTATCAAAAAAATAATAAATAAATAAATAAAAGATTTGAGTTTTTTTTTTTCTGGGTTTCCCACTTTCCTTTTAATGTCATTGAATATAACTTTAGCATGTTTCCATCACAGTTATATTACAGATAGGAAACCATGCTTACCTGATGTCTTTGTATTCCAATAAGAATTCTTCATAATAAATTCTGTGTGTGGGAAAGTTATTTTATTTTTTTGTTTGTTAACTGCCAGTTTTCATTTTTGTGGCAGTTGTACTATAGAGATAATTGGCAGGTGATGGGAATATCAAATTAGGCACAGATTTAAAATAAAGGCAAACATGGTGCATTGTTTATTGAACATAATCATCACTAGGCTTGCCCATTTTTCATTGGGAGTTCACAGTCTTCTTTCTGCTTTGCTTTCTAGCWTATTATGTGCACTTGTTTTTGAATTGAAGCATTGTGAGTGAAATAAACTTTGAAGTTACCTTAAATCTGTTGAAGTAATATTTCTTCCAGTCATGTGTTTGTAGTTAGAACTAGTTGATGACATACAGTATAATTAATTTCATACTTGCTCATTTTCCTAAGAAAGTCATGTGGCCTAATGTAAAGACCCTACAGTAGGGCAAACAGGATCTGGTTTTCAAATGTAAACTTTGGTGTTAACCTTGGGCATTTGATTGCCTTGCCTATTTTCAGAAATAAAAGGATAGAACCTATACTACTGATCTTTTTAACTGAAAAGGTTCCTATTCAGGGAAATACAGGTGAACAATATATTTAAAATATCTTAACCTATCCAAGTCATATGTAAAAGCTTTACCCACTTTATTATATGTACTGTTTTCATTTTTACATCAGGCATTTGTTTTGTGCTTCACAAAAGTTTAACTTTTCTTTTCCAGGCAGTTCAGGGTCGGTCTATCACCCAACAAGATCGAGATCTCCGAGTTGATTTAGGATTTCGTGGGATGCCCATGACTGAGGAGCAGAGGCGCCAGTTCAGCCCAGGACCCCGGACTACGATGTTTCGGATTCCAGAGTTTAAATGGTCTCCAATGCACCAGCGGCTTCTCACAGATTTGCTATTTGCATTAGAAACAGATGTACATGTTTGGAGAAGGTAGAACTATTTCCTTTATATAAATAACACCATTTTCACTTAAGAAACATGAATATTTTTATTGATATCAACTGATTATTGATTTATGTCACTGAATAATACAAATTAAGTTTATTAAAAAATTAAATATTTAAAATTTTGATAGAAACACATTTTCATTGAGTTTATAAAGCTTAGGACTTACTTCAATAGRTATTCAACAATTAGTCTTTTTTTTGTTGTTGTGGTATAATTTTTTTTCTTAAGTTCTTCAGCACAACTGAATGTACATTTTTAAAAAATTTTTTTAGTTAATGAATTTATTTTAACTAGGTACATATTACAGCAGAATGCATTTTGATTCATTGTACACAATCGCAGCACAACTTTCCATTTTTCTGGTTGTACATGATGTAATGTCACACCATATGTGCAGTCATACATATATCTAGAGTAATGATGTCTGTCTCCTTCCACCATCTTTCCTGTCCCCATCCTCCTTCCTCACCCTCCGCTCCTCTTTGCCCCAAAGTTCCTCCAGCCCTATCCCCGCCGCCCTTGTGGATCACTATCTACTTATCAGAACATTCAGCCTTTGGTTTTGGGGGATTGGCTTACTTCGCTCAGCATCATATTTTCCAACACAACCCATTTACCTGCAAATGCCATAATTTTATTCTCTTTTAATGCTGAGTAATATTCCTATGTGTATATACCACAATTTTTTAATCCACTCATCTATTGAAGGGCATCTAGGTTGCTTCCACTGTTTAGCTATTGTGAATTGAGCTGGTATAAACATTGATATGGTCTTAATGAAATTAAAGAACAAAAATTTTAAATCTGGTATAGCCATATATATATATATATATATATATATATATATATATATGGTTTAATTAAAAAATCAACTTCAATTGATATTTTCTTGATTTTATCTTTTTCTGTTAAAGTTGATATCATGTACTATATATATTCTTTTTTTACTTTTTTTAAATTTGGGGGGTACTGGGGATTGAACTCGGGGGCATTCAACCACTGAGCAACATCCCCAGCCTTAGTTTTGTATTTTATTTAGAGACTGGGTCTCATTGAGTTGCTTAGTGCCTTGCCATTGCTGAGCAACTCAATGAGATGGCTTTGAAGTCTCCATCCTCCTATCTTAGCTTCCTGGGGCCGCTGGGATTATAGGAGTGCACCACCATGCCTTGCCTATGTTTATTCTTGATAATATTATAATATATAATGATAAAATAAAACTTAAAATCATCCCCTGCAAATGTATGATTTTAGAGCCTATACTATTTAAGCAGTTAATGGATTTCAGTTCCAATTTAATTAAAGGAAAAAAATCTACATGAATTAATTACTAATTTTCCTCATTTTCAATTTAATTTTCTAATAGCAAGTGTGTAACAAATGAATGAATTATGAGAGTGTATCATTTGCACATACATGTATGTAAATTAGGAAGTTTGGTGGCTATAAGTAACAAAGTACTGTTACTATCAGTGACTTAATTAACTGGATGACATGCTCAGGATCCAAGCTGGCTTCTCTGCTTCTCCCTGTGTTTCTGTTTAGGATTCATTGTGGCTACTTTAGCTCCCAGAATCAGTTGAACATAGGAAACTTGCCCAAATTAAAAGGCAGGGTTTCTTTCTTCTTCCGTTATTCTATTCCCTCTCGCATTTCTTCTTTTCTCTCCTTTACCTCTTTTTTTTTTTTTTATTGCTTCATCTTCTCTTTCTCTCTTTTTTTCCTGGAAAAAGTCCCACAAGAAATTTTCTCCTTATGGTCCAGCAATATCACATGTTTATTTCTAAATAGATAATAGGAAAAGGGAATGGTATTATAATGACTGGTCTATATAGACCAATATTGGATTCATTTGCTAGTAACTGAGGAGACTTGCCAACACAACTCAATAACAGAAGAAAATCTAGACTATTTTAGCAGGGAAGAAGTCATGAATGTTGTGGAAGCAGTAAATAAATTCTGCCGTAGGAAGTTCTGTCTTTTGATTTTATTTGATCAGTTCTTAAGCTACTCATCAATTTTTATTTTTAATGTTATCAGCTAAGTTACTTAGGGATGATAACTGAAGAAAATTAAATACCATGAAGTATATTACTATTAATGTGAGGATTGGTATATGGAGACTAAAAAAATGAAATTTACTAGGTATAGTAATAGTACTCCAAAAGTGAGTGATACCTTCCTTTCATCAACATATTGTGTCTTTGTTTTCTTTCATGGACACTTGAGAAATTCACCAAACATAATTTCATGTAATTAATTTTTTTTAGAAGCTAGCACTTAGTTTTTAGGATAGGAATACTTTCTGAAATGCAAAATATAATATATAATTTTTTATAGTCCTGAAAAGATGAGTTATCATTGAGCTTAGTTTGATTGTGGGATAATCTTGTTTTTCCCCCCATTAGACAAAACAGTTCATATTCCTGACTGACATTAACTTAAAGGAGTGTATTTCTTTGGGGATCTACATTGCATGTTTTACATGAGAAAACACGTTGTTGACCAACTTTGATATCTTTTTCTTCTTTTTACTCAATAAGTCCAATTTACTCACACTTCCCTATTATGTCACTTCTGTGACTTTCAGTATACATTTTCAACATGAGTGGTCTCAGTCAGGCAGTGGGACAAACTGAAGCTTCCTAAAAGGTGAAGTTTAACTATGCAATTGTTTTACTTTTCAAAACAAAACACTCAGATTTGGCAGAAATAAATACTTTGAGCTAAATTCATTGACCTATTCATATGTCTTAGAATCTAGTTAATATCGGGCAGAGACAAATGAGGTAATACATTTAGATACAAAAACTCTGTGGTGATATGTAAATTTTGGTATTGTTATCTAAGTTTTAAATTTTTTTACAATAACTCCATTTTAAATTTGTCTAGCTTCTCTATATTATATCTATAATTATATTTAAACATATTATAATGTATTTAAACTTCATATTCTTAAACCAAGGAAATGTTCATTTGTGTTTTGTTTTTCTGATATTCTAGCCATTCAACAAAGTCTGTAATGGATTTTGTCAATAGCAATGAAAATATTATTTTTGTACATAACACAATTCACCTCATTTCTCAAATGGTAGACAACATCATTATTGCTTGTGGAGGAATTTTACCTTTGCTCTCTGCAGCTACATCACCAACTGTAAGTATTTTGCCTCCATCTAGTGGTTGATTTTTATAATTACATGAATTGAGCATTCTGTTGCATCTGGTACAGTTAGCAGGTAAATTTTAACAAAACAAGTTCTCCTGAGGGAACTTCTTAACTATTTAAATATATATTCCAGCCATATATATATATATTTATATGGTTATAAATATATTTATATCATATAGATATATGATTAGTTAGTGTCAGATTTAAGGTATGTGGGTTTTGAGTGATTTGGGGGAAGAGCCATATCTATAGATTTATATTTTCTATATATATTTCTTCGAATCCACTAACATAGCTGATATACTGCTAATATCCCATGTGACATTGTTACCTGATTTTACTTCCTCCTGGGTCAACATATTTTTAATCCCCTTTTTATTTGTTTTTATATAAATTATTAAAATGTATTAATATAATAAACTTGAAAAGCATTTAGTGTTAATTAGATATATTATTTAAAATATGATAGACCAATACTAACTTTAGATTTTAGTTGTCATTTTAAAAATATCTATTCAGGACTAGTTATGTAGTGAGTGGTAGAGTACTTGCATAGTATTTGTGAAGCCCGGGGTTTGATACCAGCACCAATTAAAGAAAAAAAAGGTATATTATTATTAAGGCTGAGGGTGTAGCTCAGCATCGAGTGCCTCAGTAGCATGCACAATAACCTGGGTTCAATCCTCAGTACCACAAAAAATAAAAATGTCTTCAATTCAGACCGAAACAGGAATCCATAGCTACTTGCTTAGGTAGGAAAGAATATAGAACTATGCTTCATTTATAAGCTGTGTTCTTGCTGCCATATTGAAAGTCTACCTTTAATCCCAGAAAGAGTACTTTTGTGAGAGAGAAACTTGCAGTTTTTATTTAGATGTATATTGCTTGGTGAGACAATTTTCCAGTTGATCTCTGATTTCATCATTTACAAAGTTTTTTTACATGAATCTTTTTCTCACTATCTTTTTGTCAATGCCACAACCACCAGAGCATTATTGCAGTTTAATATTACCAGCTACAGATTGTATCTTCATACACTTCCTCGAGGCATAATGAATTTATTCAGTAAGTCTACGGAACTAACTTGGGATGGAATGCCACAGGTCATCATTAAATCCTTAATGGAATTAGCAGCTAAATAAAGAAAATGAAACCATGAAGAACAACAAGATTGGTTGATGATTTGTGTCAAGGGCAGGGATCCTGAGACTCATATGCCATTCCTTCTTCTTAGTATCTATTTTCTACTAGTGATTTATACCAAATTCTGGTAAAATCTTTAAACATGTATTCCAGAATTGAGATAGGAATTTTTTTCTGCTCCTATATACTAAAGAATAAATATATCATTGTTTTCCATGTGGCAGTTTTCTTCAATATAATAATTTTTTTTACATCTTATAAATATAACTTGTTATTAAGAGACTTTAAAAGTTTGCATTAAAATTTACTTCAAAATGAATATTGAATATTTTAAAATTTGTGCAGAACAAAAGAAACGATCTTTATATAAAATAAACAGTGTAACAAAAGATATTAAACTTTGTATAGATTTGAAATATTCACATTACCAATCTTCCAAATTTTAAAGCCAAATGATCTCTAATTATTAACATGGAGAAAATATTAAATTAGTGAATTAAATTTTAAACATGATTTATATACTATTACATCACCCATTCTACCTATTTTATAATAAATGTATGATAAAGGTACTGACACTTTAAAGTCTGACTCTCAAAATTATTACCTTAGCAATTTGGACCACTATTTGGAATTTACAACTACTTATGTCTTGGACAATTCTCAGCAGATTTGGGAATTCATTTAACAGTAGAATATTTTTAAAAAATTGTCTTTGTCCTTATATTTCTGTCCTTTTGGTCTATTAACTGATTATACCTATGCCTTGTAGTCCAACATACATAGTTTTACATTCTTTAAATAAACTACTTCCTTAAAAGAAATAGCCAGAGCCTTTTTCCTACTCAATGTCTGGTAGAACCATGGTGGATACTGACTATTAATTTTTGTTTTTGTGTTACCAGATTGTATTATATTCTTGCTTAAAGTTGAATATACTGGAGAGAAAAAAAGATTGAGAAGGTTGAATAAAGAAGGAAATCATAACTGAAAATACTGGTTTTTGAAACTAGATTTTAAAAGACCAGAAAGAATTTGGGAATGTATAAGAGAAAAAGGAAGCATTGGCAGCATACAAATAGAAACATTTGATATTAATGTTTGAGTGTTCTAGTATATTGTTTAAGTATATGGAGTTTTTACAATTTTCATATAATATATGACAAATGTGAATTTTATGAATAAATGGAAGTAATGATGGCTATGATAGTAGTTGGCAAACTTTTTCTGTATGGGGCAAGATACTAAATATTTTAGGATTTGTGGATCATATGGTGTCTGTTCAGTTACTCTACTCAGCTGTTGAAGTATAAAAGCAACCGTAGTACATAAACAAATATACATGTGTGCGTTTCATAAAACTTTATGAAATTTTAAAATTTGTGCTGAACAAAAATTATCTTTAAGTAAAATGAACAGTTTACATAACAGGAAGTGGGGCAGATTTATTCTATTGGCCATAGTTTGTTGAACACTTTAGGGCATCAGTTCCATATAAAATAAGAACATTATAGGATGGTGACATCATGTGAAAATTTTATTAGCTGTTACTAATCATTGAAAACTCAGTAGATAGAACTTAAGAAAAATTCATTCTTATTAAATAAGAACTTGAATTTGACTTACCAATTGTTAATTTTTAATTTTTAAAAATAATTTCACTTAATGTTTTGGTCATTATATTCTCTATATGTAACCTTTTACACTCAGCCATACTAATGATTTTTTGTCATTTGACATTTCCAATATTGAATTATATTAACTTTTGAGAAGATAAGTAGAATGYTAAGTATTCTCTATAGTTCCTTATTTAAAAAATAACAACCCAAAACTCAACCCAATAATATGTCTTTCTAATTTCTCAGAAAAATTGTACATCTCAGGTAATTGACTGCTTTTTAAAAAACAAGTCATTTTTCACTGAGACTCAGATATGACCTTTTTAGGAATCATGATTTAGTTGAAGGTGTGTGGGTTTTAGCATAAGATAGACCTGTATTTTTACCAGGGCTCAACCATTTACCAGATTTGAGCTCAACTTCGGTGTTTTCATTTTTTTTAATGATATTAATTATCCCACACAGTGGTTTTTGAGATTAAGTGATACATACAAAAGTGTTTGATGTGGAATGCTCTTAATGAAAGTTTTCTTTCTTGAGTTCTTTTTGGAGGTGTTTAGTATTTTTTGGAACTAAGTTATTATGGGTGATGTACTTTGATAACAAAAGACTAAAATACTATCATCTTTTTGCTTGTTATTTCCATAAGATTGGCCTAGAAGAGGAAACTTAGATGAATATAGCATTGTATACCAGGAGTAACATTTGTATATTACTTTTGCTGTATCATTATCCTGGAAGAAAAATTTAATTGTTTAGGTTAATCTTTCTTGTAATAGAAACTTGAAGTATAAAAGAATACAGTCACACATCCCTATGAACTTAATATTATTGAGTAAGCATCACTCTTTGAGATTTCAGGTTGAATAGATTACTTAAAATCATACCTGGCACAGAAAATAAGTCAGAAAATAGTTTTAATTTCTAAATTAAACAAATAGTGTTAATTTTAATACTTTCAAAATAGATCATTTATATTCAATTTGATCAAACTTTCATTTGAGGAAGGAATTTTTGTGACTGATTTTTTTTTGCATTATTTTGGGATCTAGTCAATTGAATCTTCTCATTTTTTTTCAATCACATTGTTCAAGTTGTTCATGAATGAAAGCAGAGAATCAGAGGGGAAAAAATGAAGAGCAGCAAAAAACATGTATCAACTACAAATTGTACAATCACTTTTGTGATTTTAAAAAGACCATTTTGATCAACCGTCCAGTCCAGAAGACTGACTGTTTAGAATTTAATTTGATGTCATATATGGTTTAATTTGTCTGTCCCCCCCAAAAAAATTAATAGAGAATGGCATTTCTGGTTTTACTATAATATCAGCATCATAAGTTAAATCAATATTTTTCCTTTTTCTAGCCAAAATTGATGACAAACTCTTAATTTTAGTTAGCTTAATCTTTAATTTTAATGATATATAGTTGATAGATTTGGAAAAGTGACTAATAATACTTTTGTTTTTACTTGTGTTTATCTCATATTAATGATCATACTGTGGTTTTCTCAGAATGCTTTTGTTTTCCAGTGAATCTGCCCTAAAAATAGCACATTTTTAAATGTATACTCACATACATTTGTTATCAAAAATCAATAATAGTAATAGTTAGAGAATATTATTAAATTTAATCCTCTGTAAAGTTTTTTAAAAAATATTTTTAGTTATAGATGGACACAATATCTTCATTTTTATGTGGTATGGAGGATTGAGCCCAGTGCCTCACACGAGCTAGGCAGATGCTCTACCACTAATCTACAACCCCAGCCCCCTCTGTAAAGTTTTTATTATATGAATATGATTCTTATTAAAACTCTGAAACTTAGTATAATACATCATTATCATGCTTGTATGCAGGCCTTGTTTAGTGTATCAGCGAGTTTTTTTTATGGCATGCAAAAGGGATTTTAAGTTTAATCACTTATATATTTCAGTTTTGATTTATAGGTAAAATTCTGAATGTTTGAGGAAATAAATTATAATATGATTTTCTTATAAAATTCTAAAAAGTTAGTATAAATAGTTTATTTTCCAGAGGCATTATTTACTTCATTTGTTAAATTGTTTCATTAATCATCTAGTAGGAAAAGATATTTGTTTTGTAAACTAGAGTATGCATAATTTCTACTACATAAGCTATACATATATATGCATATAKTATTTGGGCAGAGTTATTCAAATAAAAAATAAATTTTAGTCTAAATATTTAACTTTTAACCTTATGCAATTTATAAAATGAATATCTCTTCTGAGAATTTTGCTTTTGATAAAATAATCAAATATGATTTTAAAATATATTATTTTGTTTTTCAATTTTCATTATATTTTCATTTAATTTTAATAATTTCCTTTTCTTGTACTTTTTTTGGTCTCTTGTCTGTTTTGTCTAATGCATGTCCAGGGTTCTAAGGTTAGTATTATTTCTGTGGTAATTTTTAGGTTTTTCTGTTTTAAATTTTATTTTTAATTATTTACGAAATTTTTGACTTGGTTATATTTTGAGTTTTCATACCATCTTTAACATTAGGTATATCCTTTGTATTAAGATTCACTAAAAGCTTAATTTTTCAAATTTATTAATTACTTTTTTATAAGTAACTATAATAAACAAACTATTATATAATTGAAAGCAATATTGTTACAGTCATGTATCTGATCAGATTTCCAATTAAAGGAAATAGGATGAGAGATAGTTTGAGATTTATAGTAGCTGTGTATAAGTAATCTTTATTTGTAAGCCCTGTCATAAGATGCTCATGTAACATTTCATCATATTTATAAAATTATTTCTATATAGAATATAAGAATTCTTTTGTAGCTCATTGTTTGTGTTAAAAATGCCTTTTACTTTAACATTTTATTATTTTAGTAAAAAATAAATACTTTGTTAAATTATGTGGAAAATTGAATTATTCTGTTTATAATTTCCTCATTTTGAATGAAAGCACATTTTGAAGATTAGACCTATAGACTCTAAACAACTGGAAAATCAAACCATTAAAAAAAAAGATAGACCTCATAATTTCAGTATCTTGAAATGATGATGAATTTTTTGAGGACGCATTTTGAGGACATATACTGAATTCTAATGTTTTAAAAGTTATTTGGAATATTTGTTAGACCTAAGCAATGGCCACATTTTCCATTCCATTAGAGAATACTGAATTTTCAGAAAAGAGATTTAAAAATCTTGTTTTTTCTTATGAACTATTCTGTCATGGTTATAGATTTTAAATTCATGATGCCATATCCATGCTAAATATAAAATGATGCTATATATTCAGAAAGTAAAAAAAATACGGAATTTGCCTGGTAAAATGTGAGTTATGAATTTATTCCCTTTTAGGCCATGGATACTCAATWGGCATACTACTGTGAATCAGTAAGGACAAATAGATTTGTATTTACAAGCTCATTTTAGCCAGAATGGTTTTAACCCTATTTGATGTTAAATGGAAGGAAGAAAGTTTGGTACATTTTGTACTACATTTAGAACTGAGGTTAGTCCATGTAGCACTAAAGTTCTTAAGTTCTTTAGTGCTTACAGTAGTCACCAGTTTGATTACCCATCTTGTATAGAATTGCTTAGAAATTTTTTAGTTTAATCTTCCCATTGGTGTTTTTTTCCTGACATTTTCATATTAATATCCTTGCTTCTTCTGAGCAGAAAGAAGTTTAGGTATAATGATATACAATGTCAAAAGGGAACATTAATTATAATCTGAAATCTATCACATATGCTTGCCTCATAGTGGTATCATTTGTTAAGACATAGCTTAATCAGTATGCTTAGTGTGGATATATGCAGAAAATTTAAATAGCAGAAATTTTATTTTTAAAGCATTCATGACTCTTCTTCACTCCTTTAGGCACTGAGAAAATAAAGCCTAATTATAAAGAACCAAAATCATTAAAATGCTATATTGTATACAATGGTAAATAAATTTAAAAATGTTGCCGTTGCTTACAAAACTACAGTCTCCCATGTTAAGAAAAAGAATACTTTGTAATCTTTTCTTGAAAGAGGAAATTAGATCTTTGTAACTGGCAATATTTTAGTAAAAGTTTAGCTTCCAGTCTAGAGCTACTGATTTTTCTTATTGCTACTATTTTATAGGTCACAAATGTCTAGAGGAATTAATGATCCTCTTGATTATTTTTACCCTAGAATTTTATTGTACATATAAAGTACCTAGTAGTTTTAGTTTATTCTAAAATTCATAGGAAATTATTATACATTCTAATTTGACAGCCATCTCATTTTGAGGCCTAATGAAATCACGGTATATTTTTACCATTATTCATTAGACACATAAAAAAGATAAAATATATTGTTTTATAAATGAGAGTAAGGATTTTAGGAAAGAAATATTAATCTTATCTCTTTGTGAATTAACAAAATAAAACCAAATTAATGTGAGTACATATGTGTGGGCATTTCTAAATAATATCACTGGGAGATGATCTTAAATATATATAGTTTTTTATAACTAATGACATTTAAAATCAGCATTTTAAAAATATTCTTTTCCTTTAGTCAAAGATAACTGTGATAAATAAATTTGACATAATTAAGTTACATATGTATTCATTTTCACTTTTGTTTACTATTTTTACTAAACTTATGTTCACCTGTAGTATATGTTATAAATTGTGTTTTCCATTTTTAAACAAGGCTTAACTCTTCTACTTTTTTAAAGACGGAATTGGAAAATATTGAAGTGACACAAGGCATGTCAGCTGAGACTGCAGTTACTTTCCTCAGTCGATTGATGGCTATGGTTGATGTCCTTGTGTTTGCCAGCTCTCTGAATTTCAGTGAGATTGAAGCTGAAAAGAACATGTCTTCTGGAGGTTTAATGCGACAGTGCCTAAGACTAGGTAAGTCTGTTAAGAAGAGCAGTGCACATTACATAATTACTTACAGGTTATTTTTCTGCAGCACTGTGGTGCATACAGTATTGATGATTATGTAATTTAGTGATTGTCTTGTAATTCTTTAGAATTATCAAATTTCAAAATCTTATCTCTTCACATTGGAATTTTCATGGAATTGGAAATCTCTAATCTTTTATTACTTAAAATATAGTTAAATATATTTGGAATTATTTTAAACTCATTGAGACAATAGCATTTCATTGAAGTGATTTTAATACAAATCCATTTATGAATTCTATTTTGATAAACTAGTACTAAGGTTAGTGACCTAGGCCCACAAACATGTCATCAAACAAACATGAGAAAGACACGTTTTTAAATGCCTCAGTATCTTGAAATCAAAATTAATTTGGTTATTCTGAACTTTTATTTCTAAATAGAAGACTGATTTCATTTTTACACATTATGAGTTTTCTCAGCTATAGGAAATCTTTATAAGTGAGTCAGCAAGCCTTATTTATTACCTCTTAAAGGTATTAATTACTTTTATAAGCACTTTACATGTGTTAATTAATCTTCACAACAGCCCTCTAAATGAGTTACTGTATTTATTCTCATTTTACACGTGAGGAAATTGAGGCACCCAGAGTTTAAACCACTGGTCTACCATCACACATCTAATTAATTGTAGAGCCAGGATTCAAGTTCAGATGGTCTAAGTCCAAAATCTGTACAACTTATTATATTTTATTGCTATCATTACATGAATGTATTGGATGCCTGTTGTCAAAGACCACAGGGTCACCTACCATGAGGAAATGTAAACATTGTGATTGGTAGAACTTAAATATTCCTGAAGTGGGAAGTTATGATTAGTATAATCACCAAGATAGTCAAATTAAGGGCAGATGCCTTATTGTTAAAATTTTAAAATCACATGTGAATTTCGTTAAAAGCTTTATTACTAAATTTCAGAATTGTGAAGAAGGGAGGAAAATAGAATAGGAAGGATATATTGGAGCTTCAGAGGCATAGTAGTATTTATTCTCTGTTCCTTCAGCTGCCTGGTAGTATATTTTGTTTTTATTTTTAGGTATATAATATAACATATATATTATACATACTGTGCTTTCATTATTGTATTTCATGATTGCACAATACATTGATGTAATTGATCTTAAAAGTAATTGTGTATAGGGGAAAGAGAAAAATACAAAAAGAATAAACCAGCATATTTTATTCAGTACATCAAAGTGAACAATTTACAATAATAATGATTTTAACTTTTTAAATAGTTTGTTGTGTAGCTGTGAGAAACTGTTTAGAATGTCGACAAAGACAAAGAGACAGGGGAAACAAATCTTCTCTTGGAAGCAGTAAACCTCAGGAAGTTCCCCAAAGTGTGACTGCCACAACAACATCAAAGGTAATCAGTCATTTTCTATGTGAAATATAATTTACTGGGAAAATTTTTTTTTAGTTTATGAAAACAAAGAAACATGGTATTTGTAATCAGATAGCTTTAGGCTCTGGTGCCTACTTCTCTGCTTCAAACCTATGTTGGCAAGATTAATTAATCTGTCTGAAATTTGCATTTGGGAGGTTATTGAAGAATATACTCATAATTTCTACTTCATAGGAATCTTAGGAGAATCATGTTAGCACATAGCATGAAAATTTTTTAGTTCTTTTCTATTTTTAAGCATTACAGGTATTTTCAGAGGTCAGTGTATGAGAAATGCAATTTTTAAATGGATGTACTTTTTTGGTGACAGACGTGACAGTCAAGAAATATATATTTAATACCACCAAATATATGAACAATATAGAATATTTTGGGGATTGGATTAATAATTCTCATTCTGCATTCACTATCAGAAATTTTCCTGACATTGGTATTACATCCAGTTTTATTAGCATGATTTTCAAGGTCCTCCATGATTGGTCTGCAATTCTGTCCCTAGCTCCTGCTTGTGTATTTACCCTCTCTTTGCTTGTACAATTTTAGTCATACTTTAGACTTTATTTAGTTCACCAAAAGGTTTTTTTTTAACACCTTAGCTTTTTACATAGTTACCTTTACTTGAAATCTTCCTCCTTATTTTTCAGCCAGCTAAAATTAGTTCAGATCTTAGGTTTAGTTTAAATGTTAATTCTCTCAAGCTGCTTATGGTGGAGCATACCTTTTATCCCATCTGCTTTGAAGGCTAAGGAGGAAGGATCACTTGAGACCACAATCTCAATACCAGCTTGAACAACATAGCAATATCCTGTCTCAAAGAAAAGAAAAACCTACAGGGAAATGTTTTCTGACATTTCTGACCACCATCTCAATCTAAAACAAATTTCTCTGATGTTTTCATAAAACCCATATGTCTCTTTATATTCACTGTACTTATAATTAGATGTTTAATATGGCCTAGTAATTTTTTTGCTCAATAAAAGAAAATAGGAAATAAGAGTTGAAATAATTTTACAAAGACTATGGTTTTTAACTTCTGTCATTTTCAAACAGACGAACCACATATTAATCATGTTGGTTGGTTATTTGCAATATTGCAGTCTCTTTTCTTTTTCACTATTGTCAGGGAAATATTCACAAGAGTAATAATTTAACCACAAATTATCACAAGACTCCATAGGGCTCTCCATTGCTTGGGAAATTAAATATTAATGTGTCAATAATCTGAGTCATATTTCTTGTATGACATAATAGACTATTAGTTGTTAGAGGACAGCGTCCACATCTTATACAACTTTGAAATTTAGGACACTGTGCATACATTGTAAAAAGGTACAGTCTTGAGTTAGTATTCTGAGTCTACCACTTATTGGTTTCCTGACTTGAGATTAATTTCTTAAGTCTGTGGATGCAAATCTCAATTTATAGGGTGTTTGTATCAATTATATAAAAAAAAGTAATATATTAAAATTCTGGCAAGATATTATTTATATTTTAATATTAATATTATGTTATTATTTAACATGTTGTTAAAAATGATTTCCTTTCTGTCTCTAGAAGTTAAAGTCAATATATACTTAGGAAATGAATAAAGAAATTAGTATTTTGGAAAACTTAGATCCCAAAGATGTGTATACTTTCTTTAATAGCTATTAGGGACACCTCAGAAGATTTTCAAGGCAAGTATTGCCCTCATTATAGAATATAGACAGAAAAGCCCAATGAAATTTTTAGTGATCTACTTTCATTTGATGGTGAAAATGAATAAGTGATGGAGATAGGAATACTAGGAAGATTTGACTTGTCAACAAAGCACATTTCAGTATAGGGAGTAAAAGGATCTAGGTGGTAAGGTTTTGTGTTTGTTCTTTGTGTTTTTTTGTTGTTGTTGTTATTGTTTTGTTTTGTTTATTTGTTTGTTTTGTTTTCCCTCCCTGTGCTTCTATGTTTTTTTAATGTGGCACTTTAGTCAGTAAACCATGGTTAATATTTTACTATGATATAAAAAATTCCCTGCTACTAATATGTGTGAACTTGGATGAATCACAGACTTTCATGGGGCTTCATTTTTTTACTGTTTTAAAAATGAACCATAATCCAAGCATTTCTTATCATATAGACTCTAAAAAGATCCAATTATATTAGGGTCACATTTGTAAAAATGTAAAATGGTATATCAATTAAAATATTTCTAGTTTTTTCCCACTTAACAGTATAAATTCATCTATGGTAGAAATTATGTGTTACTTTCTTTAATAATATTCTGATAAATATTATTATCTTGTAATTCACAATGATGTGAGATTTTTAGAAGTTAAGATCTCACCTGAAGTCCTAGAAGTGGTAAGTTTGATATTATAACAAACCAAATAATATCAGCCTACACATATTGTACTGTTTTTATTATCCAGTGCTACAAAGGAATCAAACACTTTGATTTGGGAGTTAAATAGGACCATTAATCCCTATAGAGAAGTTAAAGTTGGCCTATGTTATTTTTTATTAGAGCAACAACCTGTTAGGTTCAGAAATTATGTTTGACATTTTACATATATTATCAAATTTAATCCACATAATTTTTAATGTATTGTAAAAATGCAAAAAGTACTAGATTGAGTTTCAGGGAACTTGGCTCACTTTCTAGTTTACTGTGTGCTATATTACCTAAAATCTGTAGATTTTTATTTCTTCAGTTATAAAAAAATTGTTTTAGTTTAGTGCTCATTAATGTCTTTCAGCTTTAGTGGGCTATGACTAAAACTTTTTTTAGTGCTTACCTTGTCTTTTTATAGATCTTGAAATGGTTACATCTATAAAATCTCACAAAGTAATATAATATGATAGTCTCACATTTTATAAATTCCTGATGAATAAATGAGCCTAGAGACTCAAAGACAATTTTTAATTAGAGACAGGGAAAGTGAGACTTAAAAGAAATTTTAACAATAAGCACAAGGTCACACAGCAGAGGCTTGAGCCCAGATGTTATGAAGTTCAAGATCAGTCTTTTCCTACTATTCTGTTACCTACCTTTATAGGTCTATAGTGGTAATGGTGCTGATAAAGAGAAACCATGAGCAGAGAATAAAAAATGTGCCTTATAATTGGGTGTCCTTAATAGATGTTAGCTCTGTGAGGAGGAAGTTAGTTCAGCCTAAGTTAAAGATAGTGGGAAATGATACTTCTGTATGATTTTTTGGAATATGTTACTTCTTTACAATTCTTTTTTGTTTTTAAGACTCCCTTAGAAAATGTTCCAGGTAACCTTTCTCCTATCAAAGATCCTGATAGACTTCTTCAGGATGTTGATATTAATCGCCTGCGTGCCGTTGTCTTTCGGGATGTGGTAAGTTGTATCTGCTTGGTTTTCCTGTAAAAACTTTTTATAGTCATTTGTGTAAAATAGCATTAACTTTATAAAAATATGCATATTAAAACTAAATGCCATAGTACTTGGGTTTATCTCATATTGCTGCTTGTAGAACGTCTGAACAATAGCTCTCTCTGAAAGCTTGATATATCATTTTTTTAAAAACTATGTGAGGGTTGGGGATATAGCTCAGTGATAGAGTGCTTGCCTAGCATGAATAAGGCCCAGGGTTTGATCCACAGACCACAAAACACACACACACACACACACACACACACACAACAAAACAAAACAACAATTTTATATAATTTTTCTTTCTATTTTAAGGGTAGGGATAGCCTGAACAGCTATAATTCACTTTATCTTGCATCACTTTCATTTAGCATTTAGTATTCCTTCTCTATTTGCAGATATGGAATATTTTGTGTTTCTTATGTTGGATGAGAAGGATTGATAACTTATTAGGTGTTTGTGGCAATTACTTTATTGAGGAGATTATTTTGTAAAGTAGAATATGCATTTTAAAATTCAGATATCTAAGGGAATTTGAATTAGAACAATAGTTTAATAAAGTTTAAAAGAAAACTTAATTAAGAACGTTCATGGTCAATTACTCAAGGTAATAAAATGATTAGTGGGTGGGGGAGGAAGAAAAGTAAGGGGATGGTACTGGAAAAAGCTATGTTATATGCATTTATGAATATTTCGAAATGAACCGTACTATTATGTATAACTATAATGCACTAAAAATAAAAAATAAAAAGATTGACCTTTTCATAAATTACATAGAAACATATATAGTGTTTCACAGCAGACTCAATATTGATAAAAATTATTAATATGTTTATCAAAAACCACTAACATGGAGCAGATCTTCATCCCCAATAGGCACTGACAGAGTTAACATTGAATATAGAAAGATTTTAAAGGTGAGTTTGTGTTTAAATTGTTTATAAATTTAAATTGATTATTATACTAGATTATCATCATTTCTTTCAGATTCATTAATGTTTTGTAAATAGATTGGAAACCTCAACAGTGGTATTTAGCTTCTTTCCTAAAGAAAATAAATTGTATTAAGTGTTACCAGGGTGTACCTTCCAAACATCATCAAGATAAGACTAATGTTCCTGGAGTTTACATTATTATGTATGAGGCACTGAATTTATATTATCCTAAGCTTTCCAGTTGAGAAATAAGAGAAAGTTAAAATTCAGAAATTTTAAGACAATACAGTTGGTATTAGGTAGCATCAGAATCCAAACAGATTGTTTAAAACCATTATTTTTTCATCAATTTTTATCTTATATTTCATAGATTCCAAGATACCTTTTTTGGGTGGGGGAGGAAGTACTGGGGCTTGAACCCATGGCCCTCAACCACTGAGCCACATCCCCAGCCCCATTTTGTGTTTTATTTAGAGACAGGGTCTCACTGAGTGGCTAATGGCTTTGAACTTAAGATCCTCCTGTCTCAGCTTCTTGAACTGCTGAGATCACAGGCAGGAGCCACCACACCTGGCCCAAGAAACCTTTTTTTTTTACATTTAAATAATCCATGATATTTTGGAGTGTTTTATAATTAACAATATTTGAGATCAATTGTAAATATTATGCTAAGAATGCCAATTTATTTTTATTTTTGAAATTTCTATAAACCCATAGTCTTTTTTTTTTTTTTTTTTTTGGTACCAGGGATTGAACCCCGGGGCACTTAACCACTGGGCCACACCCCAGGCCTTTTTTATATTTTATTTAGGGACAAGGTCTCTCTGAGTTCCTAGGTGCCTGGCTAATTTACTGAGGCTGGCTTGAACTCATGATCCTCCTGCCTCAGCCTCCCCAGTCACTGGGATTATAGGCTATGCCACCATGCCCAGCCCATAGTCATTTTTAAGAGCCTTAATTTCTAAAACAAAGGAGATCCAAAATTATTAGGGTTTTTTTTCAGGAATTATATGTGCATATCTTCATAGATCAAGTAACTAAGTGGTATACTATAATCTTAGGATGGAGAATTTTAGTGTTATTTTTCCCCTTGAGTTTTTTCTCAACTGTTTAAAGTATTTAGTTTTTCTACTAAGATTATACATATGCATATACAAACATTTAAATTTTAGAAATAAAGGATTACCACAGTTTTTTAAGGAATTCTGAGTTTTGTTGGCACTGAAAGTACACACTAGCTATATGACAGAAGGAAAACTTGAGAAAATGTGTGTATTTTAGTCAGCTTTTTTGCCACTGTGACCAAAACACCTGACAAGAACATTTTTAGAGAAGGAAAAGTTTAGTTGTGGCATACAATTTCATAGGTTTCAGTCTACAGATGGCTGACTGCATTGATCTGGGCCCAAGGTGAGGCAGAACATCAATGGCAGAAGACTGCAAGTGTAGGAAAGCAGCTCCCGAAATGACAGTCAGGAAGCAGAGAGAGAGTTCCTCAACAGGGATAAGATATATATGCCAAAGGCAAGCCCCTGATGACCCACTTCCTGCAGTTACCCCTATTATCCTTATTAATAGATTAGTACACTGATTAAATTAAGGCTCTTATAACTCAGTCATTTCACCTCTGAAGGTTCTAGTGTTGTCTCATATAGGAGCTTTTGGGTTAAGCCTCATCTCTAAGCCATAACAGAGAATAAATCCCTCTTCTGGTTTTTTTGTTTGTTTGTTTTGGTATGGGGATCGAATCCAGGCATGCTCAACTTGTCAGCAACGTCGCCAGCCCTTTTTCTTTTTTTTTAATTTTGAGACAGGTCTTGCTAAATTGCTGAGGCTATCTTTGAACTTGCAATCCTTTTGCCTTAGACTCCTGAACTGCTGGGAAAATAGGCTTTCACCACCACACATGGCCTGCCCTCATGTATTTTCTATGATGAAGATGTTGTGATTTAAACTTACAGGAACTATGTAGATCCAGGTAAAATAGTTATGTGGCAAAATTTTCTATGAGAAACTATGACTAAATTATGCTAGAAAAAACTATGGATTTTTTAAAACAATTGTTTTTAGTGTTCCCCAAAACCTGAATTTGAAAGTAAATTTATTATGCTTTTTCCTTTCACCCCTAGAGCCCAGATTATACTAGGTCTCTTGTATGTATTTAAAATGAGACAAGCTAAAGTAAATTTTATCTTTAAAAGTTGAATTAGAAGGCTTCTTATCACCTTAGTTAACACATTAAGTTTTTGAAAGAATTTCAGAGCTCATTAATGATATTACTTATTGAAGGACCACCCCTGCCTTTCTGTACTGGGGATTGAACACACCCTTAGCAATAGCCTTCCATTTTTTTCAGCCACCATCACGCCCAGCTTTTGCAAACCTAAATATCTTCATTACCATGTATTTGCTTRTATGGATGTTTAATGTACAAAGAATCATAATAATATACATTTAAAAGATATATTTTCACAGAATGCATGATAGAATTCAGCAAGCAGAAATAATGGAATAATACAACATATACTAACTGGGTCAAAGTAAAAAACATATACCAAATGCAAATAAGTAAATGCTGTTATCAATTTTTATGAGGTTCTAGAATATGAGAAATTAAAATAAAGTGACAAATATCAGAATGATAGTGGCAACTCAAGGAATTAACAGAAAAGAGTGATAACAGAATTTTTAGGTAAATGAAAATGCTATAAACTTTGAATTTGTTTGGTTATGTAACAGTGGTCCACCTCATGCTTTGAATATAGCCCTTGCTGCTCTGCCACTGAGGCTTATTTTAAGATAGACATGTTTTTTTATTTCCTCTTCCCCTTTCCCCCTTCCTAACATGATGGTGGAGAACAGGATTACCTGTTTCACATCATAGACCACATACACTATAGGAACCAAGTAATTCAGACTTCAGGGATGACACAGAAGATCTAAGAAATGGCTGTATGCCAAATTAACAAGTGAATCACAACCTCCCACAGGGAACACCTGGAATAAATCTCTTCTTTAAAAAAAACCCTTCTGTTCTTTCTGATGGGCATAATCACAGCCTTTATGACTGGAGTYCCCTGTGTTTGTCATTTGCTAACAAAGCAATGAACCAAACCCTTTTTCTCAAAACCCTTTCCTCATTGAATTGGCATGGGTGACAGTTACATGAATATATACAGTTATCAAAACTCATTAAAGTCTATATTTAAAATCTCTGCACTTCATTATAAGTTTGATCTCAGTTAAAAATTCTTTTTTCAAACTTTTTTTTATTCTAAGACTCAAGGAAAAATTGTCAAAACTAGTGGTCATTTTTATTAAAAAAAGTTAGAAAATACTGTCATTGAAAAACTTGATTCACATAAATGTAAGACATAAAAGTATTTTATAAATTACTAGTATATAATAGTGACATTGAATACATTAAACTTCATCAAAATTAAAAGCTTTTTACCTCTGAAAACTGTCATTAACAAAGTGAAAAGGCAACTTACAGAGTAGGAAAAAATACTATCAAATCTGGTGTCTAAAAAGAGATTTGTTTCTAGAATATGTGAAACATACTTAGCACTTAATATGAAGAAGAAAAATAACCCAATTAAAACCATGAAAAAATATACAATTAAATATTTCTATACAAAAACTTTACCAGTGACCAAAAGCACTTAAAAAGATGTTCAACATTATTTAGCTATTAAGAAACGCAAACCTATACACCAATGACACTCAGCTGCAAGGTAAACTAGGAAAACTATGCCATTCACAATAGCCCCCTCCACCAAAAAAAATCAATTTGGGAATCAATCTAACAAAATAGATAGATGAAAAACCTCTACAGTGAAAACTATAGAACACTATTATGGTTTGGATGTGAGCTGTCTCCCAAAAGTTTACAAGTGAAACAGTGCAAGAAGGTTCAGAAAATAAATGATTGGGTTAGGGCACTGTTTGATAACCCAATCAGTGAAATAATCACCTTGATGGGATTAATTGAGTGGTAACTGAAGGCAGTTGGGGTGTGGCTAGAGGAGGTGGGACTTAGGGGTGTGACTTTGGGGTATATATTTTTACTTGGCAAGTGGAGACCTATCTCTCTCTCTCTCTGCTCTCTGATTATCATGTGAGCCGCTTTTCTCTGCCACACTCTTCTGCTATGATGTTCAGCCTCACCTTGAGCCCCAAGGAATGGAGTCTGTTGTCTATGGATTAAGATCTCTGAAATAAACTTTTCTTCCTGTACTATTGTGCTGATCCAGACTTTTAGTTGCAGTTGCAAAAAGCTGACTAAAACAAACACTAAGGAAAGAAACTGAAGAAGACTTTAGAAGAGGAAAAGATCTTTCATGTTCATAGGTAGGCAGAATTAATATTGTCAAAGTAGCCATACTACCAAAAGTGCTATACAGATTTAATGCAATTTCCATCAAAATTCCAATGACATTCTTCACAGAAATAGAAATAGAAAAAGCAGTCATGAAATTCATTTGAAAAAATAAGAGGCCCGTAATAGCCAAAACAATCCTTAGTGAGAAAAATGAAACAGTGACAAAAGTAGCATGGTGTTGGCACCAAAACAGGTATGAAGGCCAATGGAATAGAAGACACAGAGACAAACCCACATAAATACAGTTATCTCTTATTAGACAAAGGTGCTAAAAACATATATTGAAAAAAAGTTAGCTTCTTCAAACAAATGGTTCTGGGAAAACTGGAAATCCCAATGTAGTAGAATGAAATCTAACTGTCTCTCACCCTGTACAAAACTCAATTCAAAGTGGATCAAAGACCTAGGTATTAGACCAGAAACCTGTACCTACTAGGAAAAAAATGTAGGCTCAACACTCCAACATGTTGGCTTAGGAACCAACTTCCTTAATAAGACTTCTAAAGTGAAAGAAATGAAATTTAAAATTAAGTAAATGGGATAGTATCAAACTAAAATGCTGTGCTTTACAGCAAAGGAAACAATCAAGAATGTGAAGAGAGAGCCTACAGACTGGGAGAAAATCTTTGCCACCTGTACCCCAGAAAAAGTATTAATTTCTAGAATGTTCAAAAAACTCAAAAAGCTTAATATAAAAAAGACAAATAATCCAATTAATAAACGGGTAATGTAACTAAGCAGACACATCTCTGAAGAAGAAATATGAATGGTCAACAAAAATATGAACAAATGTTAAATTGTGTAGCAATTACAGAAATGCAAATTAAAATATACTGAGATTCCATCTCACTCCAGTCAAAATGGCAGTTATAAAGAATACAAGCAACAATAAATGTTGGTGAGGATGTAGGGGGAAAAGGTACTCTCGTACATTGCTGGTGGGACTGAAAATTGAGGCAAACACTCTGGAAAGCAGTATGGGGATTCCTGAGAAAACCTGGAATGTACCACTTTTGGACTCAGTTATCCCACTCCTCAGTCTATATCCAAAAGACTTAAAAACAGCATTCTACAGTAATGCAGCCACATCTATGTATATAGCAGCTCAAATCACAATAGCCAAGCTATGGAAACAATCTAAGTGTCCTTCAGTGGATGAATGGATAAAGGTATATTACTCAGCCATAAAGAAGAATGACTTTATGACATTTGCTGGTAAATGAATGGATCTGGAGACTATCATGCAAAGTGAAATAAGATAATTTCAAGAAATGAAGGTGGACACTAACCCACAACAAGTCGGGGGAGGCAGAGGTAGAAGCTTATTGGATTAGACAAAGGAGAATGAAAGGAAGTGAGGGAGGATGGGGACAGGAGAGGCAGTAGAATAAATCTGACATAACATTCCTGTGTACATATATGAATATACCACAGCGAATCTCAACATAGTGTACATCTACAAGACTGGGATCCTAATTAGAATATGATACATTCCATGTTTGTAGGAATATATCAAAATGGATTCTGTTATGTAGAACTAAAAAGAAGAAACAAAAAATTTTAAAAAGATAATTTTATGCATCACAGAACAATGTATTTTTTTAATAAAAAAAAGGCAAGCCAAAGCCACAGTGAAATACACATTCCAGAATCATAACAGGCAGAAAATAATAAGTGATAGCAATGATATGCAGAAATTGGAACTCTCAAACATTGCCAGCAGGAACATAAATAGGGCTTCCACTTGAGAAAACAGTTTGACAGTTCCTCAACAGGTCATATGTATAGTCATCATATGACCTAACATTTTCATTCTTAGGAAAACATCCAGGAGAAATGAAACATGCCTTTGCACAAAAGTTGCACCTTATGTTCCTGGTAGCCTTATTCAGAATAGCCCACATCTAGAAATAAATCACATGCCCTCCAACTGGTATATGAATAAGTATAAGACACTAAAAGGCCATAAAACTTGAATGCAACAAGAAAGAAAACTGTGAAAGAGATATGTTACAAAATTTTGGGGGGACAGGTTCTCACTAAGTTGTTCAGATGCAAAGTTGCAGAGGAGGCCYGCAAACTTAAAATTCTCCCATCTCAGCTTCCAGAGTCACTGGGATTATAGGCGTGGGCCACCCTGACCCATCTAGAGAGACCTATTTATTCGTAAAATACCTAACCAAGTGAGCTTATTTCTATAAAAATTTGGTCATTTTTCAAATGTTTAGCTTCTGTGTTTATCAGGCTTTATTTTCAACAACAGAAGTGTGAATAAGTAGTACAATTGGCTTAAAGACCTGAATTTAAAAAGGTAAAGAAACGTTCTTAATGCTAGGAGGGAGAATTTTAGCTTGACTGTTACCATAGTGCACACTTTCTTTTATTTACAACTCTACAACTTTACTATTGAAAATGCATTCATTCGTTCATTCCACACATACTGTTGAATGCCTTCTACTGCTTAGTGCTGAGTTTTCTGTTATGGAAGTAGAGCTTGTTCAAAATAAGGTCTATCATAGCTTGAGCTATGTGTGAATTCATTCTTGATATCTTTTATTAGTCTGATTTGTATTTCATTTCCTTTTGTCGTAATTACAAAGTGTTTGATTGTGTTTGATTTTGTTCCTTCTGTTTATGCCATCGACATTATAATGCAAGAAATACAGATTTTAAACACTTAAGAAACTTTCTCTAGAAAAGTTATTTATCACCTAGTGAGAAAAATAGTATATAAGTAGTGTATAAAATCCGAAATCATACTATTTCAGAGCACATTTTATCAATTTTAGTCATTTTCTTCATTAGTTGTGTTAATTGTTTCATGACCTCAAACTATTAGTAAATATTTCTTGTTTGCTTTCTTTTCTGATAAGTGCATGCGAATTCTGAATCTTGTTTGCTTGTGCTTAAATAAATACTAAATCTAAAATACTCATTAATGAAGTTATTAGAATTGAATGCATGCTTTTCTTATTTCTGTTTTTTTTAATCCTATTATCTGTGGACCATGGTTTCTACCTAAAAATTTGATTTTAGAAGAATCACTTTTACTTGTCTTATAGAGAAGATTTTATATAAGCATTTGCATTTGATTCTTTAGATACAAGTTTCATTGAAAGTGTTATTACAGGGAGCTGGGGTTGTGGCTCAGTGGTAGAGCGCTTGCCTAGCATGCATGGGGCACTGGGTTTGATTCCCGGCACCACAAAATAAATAAATAAATAAAAATAAAGTTCTAAAAAAGAATGGTTTTGAGGTCATATAAATTACCCTTCTAATCATAATTTCCCAAAAGATGATTATGTAGGCTTTTTAAATAGAGCTCTCAAGGTTACATGCAGTTTCTTATATTTTGAAAAGAAACCCATTATGAAGTTATATTTTCTCCCAGACTGCAGTCTGCTTTTTAAAACTATTATCTCCTTAACTGGCATGGCCCATTTGTATCACACTCTTTGTCACTTTGCTGTTCTCCTCTGGAAAAAGTCCATATTACCATTGAGGTTTTGAAATGAGGAGCCTCAAATATTGGTATTGTTTTAGATGTCATTTTTCCTGTGCAGAAGTATTAGATTATTACTTTTTATCTTTTATTGCAATAAAAGATTGAATTTGAATTTTTTAAAGCTACCATGTCACCCTTCAAATTCATATCAAACTTGTATAAAATTCTTCTTTTAGGCTCTTTTATTGTTTATATTTCCCTCATTTCATAGTCCATATATTTTCTTGCTCAGGTCCTACTGCATTAAAATTTTATATGTATTTCAACTATAATTTTATCTTGTTAATTTAATTCAGTTATAATAGTTAAGCTCTTAAGTGTTTAAAATCTAGAACATTAAATTATTCCCTTCAAATTTGTGCCACCTGCATATTTTATGAACACATATACTATATTCCAAATTGTGTATATTACATAGTATAAATAAAAATGGTAAAGAGATCAAAGGATAAAATTTTGTGTCCTATTTAACAAAATTTCAACATTTTAGTTTTTTAAAATTATTTTTAACCTATAACTCAGATAATACATTTTTGAAGTTTCATGTATATGTTTACTTGATAAAAAATAACAATATATACTTTGCAGATTTTAATATAAGTTAAATATCATTTTGTCTCCATAAAGAAAGCAAAATAGTAGTAGTTGCTTATATTTTAAGAACATAACACTTTAAAAAATTTTGAGTGTCCAACTGCCTTTTCATTCTACACAGGATGACAGCAAGCAGGCACAGTTCTTAGCTCTGGCTGTTGTTTACTTCATTTCGGTTCTGATGGTTTCTAAGTATCGTGACATATTAGAACCCCAGAGAGAGACTGCAAGACCTGGAAGCCAACCAGGTAGAAACATCAGACAAGAAATAAATTCACCAACAAGTACAGGTACTTTATTTTGTTTTTGTTTATTTTTCACCACCATTTATTTCTCTTTTTTTTTTCATTTTTACATTCATATTTGAACTGGACTTGCTCATAATTATCTTAAATAATTATTATTTTTAAAATATTTTTGTTTATTAATTTATTTTCATATGGTGCTGAGGATCAAACCCAGTGCCTCACACATGTGAGGTAAATGCTCTACCACTGAGCTATAGCCCCAGTCCCTATCTCAAATAGTTATAAAAAATTGGTATGTGAATGCCAAATCAATATTTTAATTCCATAAAATGTGTGAATGATATTTTTATAGTATTTGCTATATATATATATATATATATATATATACATATATATATGAATGAGTGCAGCTTTGGTTCTACTGTTTCCTATTTATTAATAATAAAAATCAATTAGCCATACCACTATTTAATATGCATGTGACTCATACTTTTTAAAACATTTCTTCTTTTATTTTTAGAACAAGAAAATTAAGAGGTCCTTATAGAGTTGTTCAAGACTAAGAATAAGCCAAAATATAAATTTTTATACCAAGCTGGAAAATTAATTTTCTTCCTTCCCTTCTTTCCTTCTTTGTCTATCTTGCTTTCTTCTGCTGTTTACAGTTATTTTACTATCTAAATAGCCTGTCAGTCATTCATGATATATCAGACATACATTTTAAATTTGTACAAGCTGTACAAAATTTGTACAAAGTGGCCTCACTAAAATCAAAATCTAGTGGAGGGAGAACATCATAGACAGTAAAGACCATTTTGGGTCATGTTGTCTTGCTCATTTGCAAAACACACTCATTTTGCTGAAGTTCTTACATTATCAGCTTTGTCTACTCTGCTTGAAAACAGTAACCACATTTTCTGGCAACTTACATTTTAGTACCGTGAGGGGCTTTCAGTGATTTGTATTTCCCACCAGGTGTTTACATCAAGGTTTTTTCTCTCTTTTTTTTAGTGTAACCTTGATTACTCAGTGGTTATTTCATGTGTCATGGGGTTAATTTTTAGTTGAAATTGCCTTTCCTTAATAATTACAAGTGATCTATAAATTAAAAGGATATTTTTTAAAAAGTGAGTAGAAATTAGTGGTCAAATCTCTGCATCTTGTTTTCCATAAGCATATCAGATCTTATTTATCTTTCATTGCTAATGTATAGATAAGGATTATATTTTAGTTATAATATTTTGCTTTTATATGTCATGTTTACTTTTAACATAGAAATTTGAGGTTATTTCATTATAATATAGTTTCACTTTTAATTTTATTCTACCAATTGAACATCATCCTCCCACTCTAGTTTGTGTCCTTTCACAATTTCAGACACTAAGACTTTATTATATTATTTTTACTTTTTTCTTTATTTTTAATGTGTTCATATCTATCATGTCTGTATAAAATAATTGATAGTATACTGAACCTTCTGGTTATGATTTTCTTGTGTATTTGTATGTCCCTATGTGTGGTACTAAAATTACTCTTAGTGAGTATATTAATTATCTTGACCTCTTACTTCTCTTCAGAGATACATTCTTTGTTGCTAGTACTGTTTGCATGTTGCAGTAATATAGTATTGTCATGGATCTTCAGTGGACCATGTTCCAGGTTGTTACATGCTGCCTCAAATTTGATTCCATGATTTTCTCCACAGTTGTGGTCATACCATCTATCCCTCATCCAAGTTTGAACCATGGATTCCTTGCCAAGTTAATTCCTGAGCAGAGCTTTGCCCACTCATTTTACAAAGGTAATATTGACCTCATCTCCTGACCTGTTTAGTATTCTTATTTCATGAGTGATTATAAAGTTAATGTTTCTGAAGTCATTGTTTATAAATAAGTACACACCTCAGGTTTCACAGATATATGATATTTGTATTTATGCCTGGCAGTTGAGAATAAAGTGATATAGTGTTTGTACTTGTATTCCATTACATTTCTTTAAGTATAATCTGCAAATTGAGGATACCTAATTTTATGTATGTTAATATACACAATGGTGGAATATACTAGAGATTGTGAAAGAGTCACATCATAGTGTGACTTAAATTAGCCCACAATGAAGGCTACTCTGGATCCACTAGAACAGAGCTTAAAAACAAGACTTGAAACATCACACTGATCTATGCTATTTAAATTCCAGTTAGACCAAAATGCCAATACTCTTTAAAGAAATGCAGACAATACTTCACCAGAAAACATAAATTAAATATTAGCATCCAAGAAAATATTACTAGGCAATGTAAAGAGGTGCATAAACAGAAGAAAAAAGGGGTGCATAAACAGAAGAAAAAAGTCAACAAACAGGAGCCGATTCAGAAACAACAGAAATAGTAGAATTATCAGAGAAGGACATTAAAATAGCCCTTATACATATGTTCAGGATGTTTTTTCAATTTAAAAGGAAAAGTGAGCATAATGAAGTGAGGACTAGAAGATAGAAAGTAAAAGAAGCAAATTGAAGTTTTAAAGATGAAAAATATTAATACCTTTCAAATGATAATTTCTGTGAGTACTATTAACAAGATGTTAGTGCTGTGGAACAAAAGATCGTAATCGATAGAATTCTGTGATAGTCCCAAGATTTTCCTTTGTGTACACTCTACAAAATTCTTGGGATGGTGGATGTGATGGATTTCTCTATTGTGATTAAGCTGTTATTGGCAAAGGTGCTTAAAGGTTTTTTTTATGTATAAAAACAAGACATCTGTAATAAGAGATCATTTAACTTCTTCCTTTCCAACTTAGATCCAACTTTTGTTTCTTCTTCTTTTTTTTTTTTTTTTTTTGACCTAATTGCTCCAGTTGGGACTTCAGTACTATKTTGAATAGAACCTCTCTTTTTTCAACATTGTATCTCTAGTCCTTGCATTGTGCTTAGATGTAATTATAGTAAAATATTTCTCAAGTAAATGATTAAGCTAGTGGGAATACTAAGCAATTTTTATAAAGGTGAGTATTCATGGTAGCCTGAAACCATGTGAAAATGGAAACAAGGAATTTAACTATAACTAATCCTAAAAGCTATAGAAGCTTTTTGTTAGTTTAATAAGAAGGAAGTTAATATTTTACATGGAATTACAAAGAAATAGGTCCTATTATTTTATGATCTGTAGGAAATGAGTAGATGTAATTTATGAAAAGAATTTATAAAGAAATAAGACAAGAAATAAAACAATTAAGATAATGTAGGGGCTGGGGTTGTGGCTCAGTGGGTAGAGCGCTTGCCTAGCACTTGCAAGGCACTGGGTTCAATCCTCATCACCACATAAAGATAAATAAATAAAATAAAAGTATTGTGTTTGACTATAACTACAAAAAAAGCTAAAAAAGAAAAGAAAAGATAGTATAAGAATAGACATGTTATAGGAAGTCAACAAATAGGCTACAGTGTCCCGTATGTTAATATGTAAACATTCCGTATATTATCAATGCAGAGGGAAGCATCATTTGGCAGAGGGTTACCAAGTGGTATAACCATTTGTAAAAATAATTAATATATTGTTATCTCACATATTATGTGACATAAATTCTGTGTGTTAAAATTTAAAGGTAAGAATGAAACTGAACATAATTATAGAAAATTAAAATGAATACTTATGTATTATCGTAACATCATTTTAAATCATTAATACCAAGAGCTGAAACTGTGAAGAAAAAGATATGACTAAATAAAAGCTTTATATATCTATATGGCTATATGTAAGGCACTGTATGGCTAAATTAATAAAATAAAAAGGCAAATACAAATAGGAAAAATATTATATATTTATATGATAAAAGTTAACAGACTTAATGAGTAAAGAGCTCTTACATATCAAAAGAATATACAATAGTGATGGCAAAAAATCAAATGTATAACAAAAGAAAGACAAGATGCAGTAAAAACAAAGGATAAAATTAAAGTACATTAGTATCAAAACAAAAATATGTCATAGTATGCCACACTGGGCAGACTACTGAAGGATGAGAATGTAAATATATATTCTATATGTATATAACATAAAAATGTTCATAAACCTTTTTCTTGTACTTTTTCTTTTAGAATTATTTGTTAAGGAAACAAAGATATATCAATTCTTCAAATACATATTTTTAACTGCCCAATTTTAATTTATTTTATAATTTGAAATACAATTAATATTTATTAAATTGTTTATTTATATGAACAGTTTTTCAGTATTGCAAATTTTTAATATCCTGCTTTTAGATTAATTTTTAAGTTGTAAATAATCATTCTGTGGATATATAACATTTTTAAGTACTTTAGTACATTCTTATCAATAAAATTTTGAAGAACTCTTTTTGAGTACTGATGTTGAATATATTATATATTTTCATTATTTAAAGGTAAAAATCATATTATTTTTCCTAACAATTATTTTGTTTTAATTTTAAATACTTAAAATATTATAAATGTGTAGCTGCACTGGAGCTCAGTGGCAGAGCACTTGCCTAGCATGTGTGAGGCACATGTGGTGCTCAATCCTCAGCACCACATAAAAATAAATAAATAAAATAAAGGTATGCTGTTAATCTACAACTACAAAAAATTTTAAAAACAATTATAAATATTTTTCAGTATTATTAAATTTAAAGGTATCTGTTGACTTTTAATTCAGTTAATAATTCCTTCAGTATATATCTTCTTAATAAATTAATGATTTCCTGCTACATGCTAGGTACTAAGGATATATAATAGTAACCAAAATGTTTTTATTTCCACAAAGTTAACACTGTAGCAAGGGAGATACACTTTTATAAGTAACACACTTAAGTATGTATTTGAAAAGTATGTATATCCTAAGTAATACATTTTAAGTCAGTATAAAATAAGAAATATAATTTAGTTTGGTAGTTGGGAATGCCTCTCATAGAGTTGACATTTATGCTGAGAACCAAAGGATGAATTCAGTTTGGTGAAAAGAATGGGGACAGTGAGTGGAAGCAAATTCCTGAAAACAGCCACAAGTTCAGAAACATCACTTGGTGCATTTCGGGAACATATGTTGGTAAAATGTAATAAGGGAAAGAGATGCATTCCATGAGTTAGATATAGGTAGGCAAGAATCAAATCATGTAGCTAAATCATGAAGGATCTAGTTTTAAAACATGCAGAGTGTTGTATTAGTTTTCTTTTCTTTATCAAAATTATCACAGATTAGGGGCTGGAGATRTGGTTCAAGCGGTAGCGCGCTCACCTGGCATGCATGCGGCCTGGGTTTGATCCTCAGCACCACATACAAACAAAGATGTTGTGTCCGCCGAAAACTAAAAAATAAATACTAAAAAAAATTCTAAAAAAAAAGTTATCACAGATTTAATGACAAAATTATTATTTTTCAGTCCTCTAGGTCAGTACAACTTGGGTTTCAGTGGGTTAACATCCAGGCATTAGTAATGGTAACGATGTATTTCTTTTTGTAGACTCAGGGAGTATCCATTTTCCGTTCCATGTCCATCTTTTAGAAGCCACCCAGATTCCTTGATTCATTCCTTTCTTCTTCCATGCACATTATTCTGTTGTCACACCTTCCTCTGATCAGGTAGAAAAGGTTTTCTGCTTTTTTTAAAAAAAATATTGTTTTTAATTGTAGATGGACACAATGAATTTACTTTATTAATTTTTCTTTAAATGTTGTGCTGAGGATTGAATCCAATGCCTCACATGTGGGAGGCAAGCACTCTACCACTGAGCTACAACACTAACCCAGGTTTTCTGCTTTTAAGGACCTGGATAACTCAAGATAATATCCTCTTTTCAAGGTCCTTACATGTCCTTCTTGCCATATGAGGCAAAATATTTTCAGGTTATGGAAAATCGGACTTGGACATTTTGTAATGTGAAAAACTTTTTTTAAGTTTTAGAGTCAGAATTGGAACATTGATCAACTTGATTACATTCCCATGATCTTTAAAATTTATAGTGAGATTTACTTTATGCTATGCACTATTCATACTTTATGTTCTTGAATTATCACTATAATTGCCTCTATGATTATATGCCCATTTTATAGATAAAGGAATAAGGATGAGGAAAGTTAAATGACTCATTTTATTTCATAAAGCTAATCAATGATAAATAAGTCTTGAGTGAAACTCAGGTAGCCTGAATTTCAAAACATAATTCTTGACCATTATATTGCCAAATTGTGGCTTATCTAACTGATACCATTAGAGTTATACTGTATTTGGTTTTATTTCTTTGTCTGCAATTCAAGAAAAGTCTGAGACCCATATGTTGGCATTTTATTTTTGGTATTAATGGTTGCCTCCATTATATTACCGAAATGCGTATATATTTCTAAAGGAATTGTGGTTTTTATTCTTTGAAACAAYGAGAGCAAAAGCACAAGGTAGGGCAAGAGAAAAAGAAAATATTTATGTATGAATATTTTGTAAATACTTATTGATGATTTATTCAAATGTGAAAATTGAAAGTACATTAAAATTTATATAATTTGGAGGTAAGATTTACAGGAATAAATGAAATAGGGATCACCAAAGTACTGCTTCTCCAAAAAAGCTGTAAGAACACTGGAACACTGGAAGAAACACTGTAAGAACACTGGTCAAAATCAGCTTTTTTCGTTCTCTAGAAAGTAATCAAATTCTTACAACAATCCAAACAGTATTGATTTTAGAAAAACTGGACAACCTTCCCAAGATCAGCAACCTTCATAGTGATTTAACTCACCATATTGCTGTTCACTCTACTCAGCTATGTGGTAGCTTGAAAACCAAAGGC